TTGGGGTACCCTGATGCGGGCAAGGAATTCATAGTTGACACAGACGCAAGTGATATAGGACTTGGCGGTGTGTTGTCTCAACGGAATGGTGATCAAGAGATTGTGATAGCGTACTTCAGCAAGTCGTTGTCAAAGCCGGAAAGGAACTATTGTGTCACAAGACGGGAATTGCTTGCTGTGGTAAAGTCCTTGCAGCATTTTAGCAAATATCTTCTAGGGCGGAAATTCCACTCACGAACTGACCATGCTGCACTGAAATGGCTATTGCAGTTCAAAAATCCGGAAGGACAAGTTGCGAGATGGATTGAACTACTGCAGGAATACGACTTTGTGGTCGAACATCGCAGCGGGAAATCTCATGGCAATGCAGATGCATTGTCAAGAAGACCTTGCCCTGAAGATTGCAAGCATTGCACTAGGCAAGAGGGTAAGGAAGTGGTATCTGTGAGAATGCTCAGGACAGACCAGCTCAGCAATGAGTGGAAGGAGAGCCTACAACATGCACAGCAGGAAGATTCGGACATTAAGCCGATTCTGGAATGGATGAAGGCCAGTGCTCCTAAGCCCAAGTGGAGCGACGTCTCAGCAATGAGTTCGACCACGAAATGCTATTGGGCCCAATGGGACAGCTTGCTGATTCAAGATGGAGTCCTGTGCCGTAAATGGGAAAATGGTCGGGGAGACAGGTGTCATTTGCAAATGGTTGTCCCTAGGGCTAAAGTGCCGGATATTCTACAGCTGTACCATAGTGGTTGTTCAGGAGGCCACCTGGGAGTTAAACGAACTCTCCTGAAGATCCGAGAACGGTTTTACTGGGTCCACTGTCGTGACGATGTCGAGGACTGGTGCCGCAAATGTACAAGTTGTGCGGCTGTAAAGGGACCTCAAATTCGTAGTAGAGGCGCATTGAAATTGTACAATGTTGGTGCACCATGGGAGAGGATAGCCATTGACGTTGCGGGGCCGTTTCCAGAAACTGAAAGTGGTAACAAGTATTTCATGGTTGTGATGGATTACTTCACTAAGTGGCCAGAAGTCTTCGCCATCCCAAATCAAGAAGCTTCAACAGTTGCAGATAAACTAGTTCATGAAGTCTTCTGTCGTTTTGGAGTACCCTTAGAGATTCACAGCGATCAAGGAAGGAATTTCGAGTCTCAAATATTCCAGGAAACTTGCAGAGTTATGGGTACTCATAAAACACGAACAATTTCTTACCACCCACAATCTGATGGAATGGTAGAACGATTTAATCAGACATTGGAAAGGTACCTGGCAAAAGTTGTGGAAAAACGGCAACGAGACTGGGACAGGCACATACAACCGTTTTTGTTGTCATATCGAAGCGCTGTTCACGAAAGTACATCATTGACGCCAGCTTTCGCAAACTTTGGGAGAGAATTACGGCTGCCTGCAGACCTGATCACCGGAATACCACCAGATGCCCCACGCAGTATAACCGATTATGCAAATGACTTGCGGAACAAAATGAATGACATTTATGAGCACGTCAGACAGACGGGCCAGCAAACGTCTGAGAAGATGAAAACACGGTATGACCGCAAAATAAACAACAAGGGGTTTGATGAAGGTTCTCTAGTGTGGTTACACAATCCAGTTCGCAGCAAAGGGAAATCTCCTAAGCTTCAAGCTAAATGGGACGGACCGTACCGGATTGTGACAAGGATCAATGACGTAACCTACCGGATACAGAAAGGTGCCAGAGGTACTCCTAAGATTGTCCATGTAGATCGACTGGCGCGTTATTATGGGGCCAATAATGCTCGGGACGAGCATGTCTTAGGAGGGGGCAGTGTTGCGCGCCACTATTAATGTCTTGTACATGGCAACACTAGTTACACTAGCGCCCCCTAGTGTCGAGTAAATGAAAGTATTGCGTGCCACTATTAATGTCTTGTACATGGCAACACTAGGTACACTAGCGCCCTCTAGTGTCGAGTAGTAGAACTAGGAGAGTCAAGATCCTTCCAGAAATTTCGGGACCGATATGTACTCGAACATTCTAGATGTCGCTACAGTAGAAGATTCTGGAAACTATCTGAGGCCCTATATAAGGCCGGTATAGACCACGACCGAGGCAGTATTGAATTGGCGATACAAGAGAATACTTCGAAGCGAAATAACGGCGAACTGTGTTTTATTATTAGTGTGATTTTAAGTTATAATTAGTGTTGTGTAATTAAATAGTCAATTTTGGTAATTCACTCGGCAGTTTTTAATTATCTTGAACCCCAAGCTCGTAACAGTATTATGTAATAATCCATATTGAATAAAAATCATTCTTTTCTATTCTATTCTAAAAGTTCCGTCATTGGTCATTGTTACTGCCATTTTGTAGACACTAGTTACGATGCGTGAATATAAAATTTAAATCAGGTGCGTGCGATCATTCAGGGAGCTCGTAGCAAACTAAGCACTAGGCGTGTGTATCTCTTTACGGAACCGACTCACTGATCCGAATCACTGAAGTGATTCAAAAGATTGGTTCAGTAACAACGTTTCAAATGCATCATTTGGATCTGGAACAGTGAAACATTACTTTGCTCTGTGCTCATTTCGCGCGACGCGTCGCTTGCGAGGCGACTGAACCACGTGCGAGAGAGACAGACTGAGACAGTAATTAACTATTGACTCGCGAGTGGCGAGTGAGCGGGCGAAATAATTATAATCCATACAAGTCAGATAGAGATAACAATAAGAAGTGTATCACTCAATTCGTACGGATTTTCGCTGTCGTTATTCATGCACGTAAAAATTACCACAAAGGCGCTTACGTGTCAAATACTATACGGTCGTTTTTTGTATGTAATGTTTGCATTAACAAGTTGACATTTTACGTTGATGCGGCACTTTTCAAATTGTTTATGTTCATTAGCGCCTGTTTACGAAAACATACGGAGTTCTGTTTAGGATTTCTTTGCGTAGTGATTATTGTGACTTACTTTCTTCCTTTTCATCATAAAGTTAGAGTTATGAGACTTTATGAGAAAATTCCGTGTACATAGACATTGTGGTTTTGTGTATACATTTTTGTAAATAATGAATTGACTTAATGACATTTTTGTTAAAGTATGAAGGAGGATCGATTTTATATACAATCTTATTACGGTACACAATAAATAACCTAAGCACTTATATTATTCAACATTGTTGCCACATAACATTTCACTGATCAGTCAGTAATAGGGAATGCAATCTCGTTCTCGCGAGATCGGGATCTCGCGAGATCTCGTCCATATTTTGCGAGACTGAGTCTCGTTCAATTTTTGTACGAGATCTCGCGAGATTGCGAGATTAAGCGGCGCAGCAAAATCGGTGTGTATTTCGTAGCGCGGTTGCGCGCGAACTGTTCTGCGCATGCTGTAGGCACTACTCGCGCGGGAGTTGCGGGGGACGAGGCCCGGCTCACTCACTGTCATCACTTTGCCGGCACGCGTGCGTTCGTTTAAGTAATTATCTAGTTTTGTTGAATTTAAGGGATTTTTGTGATTAACTGGTTATTTTAGTGTAACATTTCATGTAATTTGGCATTGAACTATGTCGACAAACTCAAAAACAGTGTACAGTGAATACGGAAGTTCATTAGAAGTTTGGAAATATTGCTTAAGAGCCAATGATGGAGCAGAGCAGGAGTCAGTGCAAAGTGCAAGGTGTGTGGGAAGATTTTGAAAGCTAAAGACCGTTCTCCAAAAGGCTTACACACACACTTGAAGTCTATACATAACATTGATTCGAAAAAAAAGGTTGAGGATGTTCAGATTGAGGAAAATGTAGAAACTTCAATGAGGACTCCGGTTGCCGGGCCAGCGGCGCCAGAGCCAGTAGCTTCCGGATCAGCTTCTTCTTCAGATAGTACTCTTCAGCAATCAAAATCATCAACTGTACCTAAAAAGCGAAAAATTACGGACCATTTCCACAACGAAGATACTTCGAAGGAAATTATGGTTTCAAGAATGGTGTCTAAAGACGGTCTACCTTTTCGTGTATTTTGCACCTCAAAAGACCTGAGAGACCTTTTTTCTTCTAAGGGACACAAATTACCGTCATCTCCTAATTCAATTAAACTTATGGTAATTAATTACGGAATGACCTTAAAAATAAAACTTAAACAAGAACTTTCTCAGCTAAAGGAAGATAACTACAGATACAGATTTACTTTAAGCTTCGATGAGTGGACTTCCTCTAGAAATAGACGTTACATGAACGTGAATGTCCACACATGCAAAGAAAATGAAGCCATATTTTGGAATTTAGGCTTGATCAGAATATACGGCAGTATGCCTGCCGAAACTGCAGTAGATCTTTTAAAGAACAGACTTTCAGAATTTGAATTGTCTCTTGACGATGATGTAGTCAACATTACAACAGATGGGGCTAAGGTAATGATCAAATTAGGACGTTTGATTAATCCTCTACATCAGCTCTGCTATGCCCACGTCATTCAGTTGTCTATCATGGACGTTCTGTACAAAAAACAAGATTTATCTTTGTCTGAGGACAATGACATTGATGAGATATTTGACGTATCAGGAGAAGAAACCGATATAAACTCCGATGACGACGATGACGTTTTTTACTCTTTTTTTCCAACAAGAGCGGTAGATCTGGATACATAGTACGCGAGTATCATAGAAAAGGTCAGAAAACTGGTCAGGCTTTTTAAAAAATCGCCAACAAAAAACGATCTCCTCCAAGTTTACATTAACCAAGAATTTGGCAAAAACTTACAGCTACAATTAGATTGCAAAACACGCTGGTCAAGCCTTGCTGATATGATATCGACATTTAATAAAGTTAAACTGTGTGTGGGCAAAGCATTGATCGATTTAGGTCTTGACACTAATTCGGATTACTCTTTGAGTGCAGAAGAGTATACAGTTTTGACAAACTTAGACAGAGTATTTCAGCCTGTCAAACTCGCTGTAGAGGTCTTATGCCGTCGAGATTCTGACCTGGTTACTGCCGAAACGATTTTAAGATTTATGATACGCAAACTTGAAGAACTAACGACAACATTGGCAAAAAAACTAGGAGAGTCATTGAGAAACCGCATAGCTGAGCGTCGAACTTGCTTGACTTCAGTATTGATATATTTGAGAGATTATGTCAAATATGAGGAAGATTTGGAAGACTATGCGCGAGACGAAACGTTCAAAATGTCACAGAAAGTTAGTATCCGAAAAGAAATTAAAAAACTTATAAAGAGATTGCACTGTAAGACGCAATACTACTATCATACACAAGAAAGCTCATATGTTACAGAGCCACTTCCTTCAACATCAGCAGCTGCTTGTAATGATGTTGTACTTGGCGAAAGCGAAGGCGCTAATGATGATGTGCCCCTTTCTGTTCTGTCCACGGCTGGAAAAAGTATTTCCCTTCAAGAGGAGCTACTAGAATCGTTGACAGCATTGAAAAAGCCCAATCGTTCAACAAATTCTGCAAATTCATTGGAGATACTCATTAAAAAAGAGATGAATTTGTATGAAGCTGGAGGGGTTAAAGGTGAGCTCCTTCAGTTTGTACACAACTGTTTGTCGACTGTGGTTCCGACTAGTGTAGAGGCAGAAAGAGCATTTTCGGCCGCGGGGTACTTGGCCTGTAAAATCAGGAGTCGTCTATCAGATGAAACCCTAGATATGCTGTGTTTTTTGAGAAGCCACTTTCAAAAATAACTTATCCTTTTAATAACACTGTCTAATAATACTTACATATCCTTAAAAATTACAAATGCTGCAGAAGGCTGAATAAGTGTTACATTTCGTATTATTTCGAAGTGTTTTTTTGTTTTATTTTAAGTTTTTTGTTCATAATACTGCAGAAGGCTGATTTAGTGTTATATTTCGAAGTTTTTTTTTATTTTTAAGTTTTTTGTTCTTAATACTGCAGAAGGCTGATTTAGTGTTATATTTCGAAGTTTTTTTTATTTTTATTTTAAGTTTTTTGTTCTTAATACTGCAGATGCAGAAGGCTGATTTTCAGTTTATATAATAAGAATAAGACTGACTAATATTATATTATAACGTAATTGTGTTTTATTTTAAAATAAATGATTATAATATGCCAATTACATGAATGTTTTATTTTTATCTTATATATTGAAAATCAATAAGCGGATATAATAGTATTAGCGAATGTTTTTAGTAAAAATACCCAATTGGGCGAGATCTCGGAAATCTCGTAATCTCGCGAGACTGGCTTTACGGTCTCGCGAGATCTCGGCGAGGTCTAAAATCTCGCGAGATTGCATTCCCTAGTCAGTAATAAACGCCTGAGACGCAACGTAATGTATTCGGAACATTCTGTATTTTATATCTTTCGAGTCGTGATCCAAATGAAACATATCAGTGTTCGGAACATTTCAGTGATCGAGATGCAAATGTTCCAATCGCAAAAATGATACACTTTGCCCACCTCCACTAAACACGCACCCAAAGTGTGGAAGCGGCGGCCAATACTCTGCCACAACCCTTTGATCTTTTGTCAAAAACTGACACCACACGGATCTCGCGCCAACTTGTGGGCCATCATTCCAATACATACCAAGTGAAGCACAAACACCCGCACTACACGATGGCCATCGGTGTTGGCGAACACATTCGCCACTATGTTGGCCAACGTGAAGAGACGCCATATGAAGAATGAGTTGTCAGGTTTCATGGGAGATAAAATTTAAAAAATATATTTACTTCATTTTCTATTCTTTTATTGACGCCATTTTGATCGCTAGTAATTTATATTTTAATATTACATTTTTTAATTCAAATGTATTTTGACGACAAATATTAGGCATTATATCCATTCCTAAATTTCAATCTCGAATTCAACAAAGTGGTGAAGGAGAAGCGGCATTACCAGTGCGTGTTGTTGAGTAGAGTTGGCAACTCTGTACTCAACAATACGCATGTTCAGCGTGGAGGATTTGGGTAAATCATTCACAAAAATAACATACTTCATCCAAGGCCAGTAAGGCTGTAACGATTCCTCCGATGTTGTAAACGTTATAACGTAGTGCTCGTTTACCCCTGCGTTTCATACCCCATTCAGCAGTAGTTTAAAAAGAAACAGATAAATAGCATAAATCAATTTGCTGTTAAAATAAAAGTAAAAGTGTAAAAAAAATCTGCAAGGACTATGGATTTGATGTTTAATTTTGGTTTAACATTAAATACTTGTTAGCGCTAACATATTTATCACGTACTGAATAAAGATAATCTTTTTACGCAGATGCAGCTTTCACAATCTCTTCAGCTACCTCTACTGCAATGGCGGCCTCAGCTTTTGCCTGTAAAACAAGGGACAGTTATGCATATAAGAAACAATAGATAAAATTTTAAGAACTGATTTTTAAATAATGACTGGGCTGATATAATAACGGCAATAAGTACAAGTACCTATATACTAAAAACATAATATAGACAGCAGATAGCATAATAACTTATCTCTATAACATGTAAATAGGAAGCAGCAGAATTACTCTATTACTGCAATTGTCAATACAAAATCAATGCCGAATGGAAAAGGTCTCTATGAATGGTTTATATTAGACCTGTGGTGGTAGAAAGGATCAATGCTAGTGTGAGAGCTCAGGAGGGAAGAGGGATCAGCTCTGCACTCACCTACCTGCTCGCGTAACGTTTAGAGAATGTTAATGTTCAGTAATGCTTGCCAGCTGATACTTGTGGAAAGACATGTATCCAACATCAGACTCATAATCAAAAGCTTTTGCAGGCGTGGATCAGGACCAGACCCAAAAAAAGGTAGTGGTCGGGGTTACTCGAAAATCAGACAAGTGCGATTCGAACTACGGACTCGCTTACGATCGATACATTGCATTCCTACAAAGTTACCAAATGTATGACGCCCCGACCAAGAGGTAAGTACAGTGTTAGTCTGCTTGCCCACGAATATTACAAAAATAAATGTGTGTTTGTTTACACATTACAATATGACATCTAGACTACTGAAATGATTTTGATGAAACATTTACAGCTTGAAAGCATATAAGATTTAATTAAAAGCTGGTATACATTTAACACTGAATTTTTCTTAGGTGCTTACTTAAATGACTAATTGAAACTTACATTTCTTTTTCGCGAAAACATTGATAATTTCATCGATATCCAGGCTCACGTTTTTGTGTATATTTAGGAGAGCTAGCCCGGATAATCTTTCCTGTACCATTAAGGCAAGCAACCAAGATTCTCTGCGGTATTTACGATGACCAGAAGAGTCACCAGTAAGAAAGTTTTTATGTTAGGATAACAAATCTTGTTCACATGTTTCAATGACGACCTACCGACTCTTTAGGCAGGTCTAAAATGCATTACGTGAAGAAGAAACAATTACAACAAATTCTTCTTATGATTGGGGAAGTGCATATCCACTGTATTGTTGACATATTTCTACTTGAATATTTATAAAAAGGAAATTAAAATATTAACCTTTTCATTTGCAGCAGAATTTAATTCAGACTGAGCCTTGCTGAGGGCCTCCTGGGCCGCACTTCGATCCAAACTCTCCACGGGATGAGCTTCTTCAGCCAATACCTGAACAATAATAATACCTTTTATATTTTTATACAGAATTATTACATTTAAAATTTAAGATTACGAAACGCATAATTTACAAAAAACTATGTTGTATTTTAATTTCTCTATCTAAGTACCATTGATGTGATCCAGACCCAAAATATATTCGTTTTATAGAAATATTGACTCCAAGTGGATTTGTAAACCTAGACTCGCAGCATAGCGGCCCGTGTATCTGCAGATACTCCGACCACTAGGACATGCAAACATCAATATAATATGTATAACATATATTCAGTGACAGTGAAATCTAATTAAGGAGGACCTGAAATGGCAACTATCTCCTCTATAAGGCAATGGCAAGTGGGAGAGGCACATGTTCTGATAAATAAATATTTACTAAATACGAAATCGGAAAATAAATTATAAAATAAACTAGACCTGAGAAAAATAAATTACGTAAAGACTATATCAGAATAGCGTGTGTTCAACTTCCAACAATATGTGTTCTATGTTGTTACAGGATAACCTAATGTTGCAATGTTATAAGTGTTGAGATTTATCTGTTTGTCTATCTATTGCAAGTGTCCATGGACTGTTGTGACCGCTTAATATCAGATGGACTGTTAGATCTTTTGTCACCCTAAAATTTTTAAATAAAATTTAGACCCCATCAACGAGTCACGTCGGCGCCCGGAGGCTAAAGGCCGAAGACGTATCAAAAGTTATTGCGGAATCATCATCCCAATGCCAGCAGCAGCCTTCAATGTAGGTGATATTCACCAAAGATTTCAAATGTAAAAATTAAATGTTAATCAAAATGTATTATTACAAATCACAAAGTAAAAATCTAAGTAAATTTATTTAATTGTGGCTAATAAAATTAGCATTGGGAGGTCACTACATTCAGGGCTAAACATCTCGGCACGCCGGGATCACTCCCCCAAGTTGCATACAACATCAAAGGACTGTTGAACTTCTTCAGGGAGATTTCATTGCTCGAATAATAACAATATGTACATTTGTCAGTAAATGTTCGAGAAAGAGATTTTTTTTCTTCATAAGACTAAAATTCTTAAAATGCTTAGACAAGTTAAGAACTTGGGAATTCCTGCAGGTCACAGGTTATAAACTTATTACTTGAAAGCGCTCAGCAAGCATGTTAGTTTCTAGGCGGCTAATATTCGGTACCCTGACCTAAAACCTCGTCTCGTATATAGTGATAGGCAGACTCAGTATCCACAATATCTCTAGAAAAAACCTTAAAAATTATTGAAGGATTTGCGGTCACGGTCATTAAGACATGTTAAAATCAAATAAGAATACCTGAACAGAAGAATCATCGTTAACAGTGATTGTCCCAGAGGATACAAATATTTTGGTCTGCTTGCCATCATTCTCAATAACTGTGACAACTCCGGGCCTGAGAACAGCTGTAAATAAAGTTGTTATTTTGAGTTCATTAAAAAGTGTAAAATTATAATCAAATGTTTGTACACTCCTGTGGTATGGATTTAGTAGGTAGTAGTTAATTTGGTGATAAGGTTGTTAATATACTTAAAAATATGCCTTAGTTCATAACTATTTCTGCTACTTAAAAACAGTGCATCCACTGTTGAGTTCCAGTTTAAAATTTACTGAGAAGAAGACCACACTTTTAACAGTGGTAGAGCCACGCGGCAGCTTTTGCTGTCGCACGGATGGGCCGGCTCGAACCAGGGTGGTACCACAACCTCACAGAAAACCAGCGTGAAGTAGAGATTTACCTCTGCGTTTCACTTGGTGAGTGCAGGTGGCAGGAGGTCCTTTTTACTGGAAAGGAGGCATTCTATGTTAGTCCTCACTAGTGACAACGCATCTGCATTTTGATTAGTAATCGAGGATATATGTAGCTGTCTATGGGCCACGTCAACCACTTACCATCAGTTGGACTGTTTGCTTGTTTGTCACTATAACCCTATAAAAAAGCCTTTTTGTTTTAAGCTAGTTGCAAGTATCCATAGCTGCTACAATAGCTGCATACTATCTATCAGGTTAACTGCTAGCTTGCTTCTAACTCATTTCTAAAGGAAGTAAGTCTATTGACAATTTTTATGTACATAAGAAATTTATTCTTACCTAGAGTAGGGACATGCTTTGGTAATATACCAAAAGATCCACTGAAAGATGGTACATCAATTTGTTTCACAACTTTTTTGTCGTAAAACACCTGTAACAAGTTAAAATTATATTATGTACTACTAATTTTAATGATAAAATAATTGTTATACATTAACAACCTGAAGATTAAATGAAATCCATACATCTATACAAATAAATAAAATTAAAGTGTCTGTTTGTAATGTCAAAATAACAGCTTTTTACTATATGCATATGAGGTCAGTAAAGAAATAAAGTAGGTTTTTAGGTTAACACATTTTTTCTCATGTGAACAAGAGTACAATATTATAATTTACTGAATGACAGAATAAATAGAACATACTTTGTTATATGTAAGATACTTTGAAATACAAACTTTATCTATATTTTATTGTATAAATTCGGCGCATTATTCGTCAACTTATACAAATTCAGTTACAGGTTAACAAAAAAAGTATAATTTTGTTTAAAGGAATACAAAAAATTATTAAAGAAAAAAGTACTCGATGTTGAAAACACATAGATTCTAAAGGTTAGATGCATCAATGTGTTCCAATGCAAAGGTAGAATCTAAACTGCATTGGAATTCATCGAAGCATTACATCGAAAAAAAACATAGATTTATTTTTAAAGTGGACACACCTAGTCTCAATTTCTTTCATGAGAAAGAAAATTAGTTTAGTTTAGTTTACGACGGGCTGTTGTTATCCGCAACTCCACGTCTATGCGCGTATTTTGCGTGTGGGCAGGAATAATATGATTATTCGAGCCATGAGATCTCCCCGAAGAAGCTCAACAGTCCTTTGATGTTGCATGCAACTTCGGGGAGTGATCCCGGCATGCCGAGATGTTTAGCCCGAAAGAAAGAGAAAGAAAATTAGTTTTTTTTTTAATTATTTCTATAACCGGACCATCACACCTAAAGCATCCTGTGAATTCTCCCATGTCTTAAAGATATATTTAATCAGCTTAACACCAGCATCAGTTGTCAAGCGACCGCTTATGAAACCGAATTGATTTTTATGAAGTAAATTATTAACATTTAATCATGAAATTTTTTACTAGTAAGTAAAAAAATTAATAAAAATTACTAAGTGTTGGCAGTACAGAAATAGGTCTAAAATTGGCTGGGTTCAATGTACTAAAAGATTTAAATAAAGGTTTACTTTACAATATTTCGTTAAATCAGGAAACACACCAGATTCGAAACTGGTATTAAAAATAATAGCTAGTTGTGGTGCAATTGTATCTATTATAGACGCATTACCTTTAACGAAAATCCCCCACAGATCTGCGGTTTTCTTAATATATTCTTATATTAATATAAAATTCTTTGTACACTCATTTACATTTTGTTTAAATAATGATTGGGTGATGGCTGAAGAAGAATTCAATGCCTTAGTGGTTAAGATCGGAATATCAGTAAAATATTTCTCAAAAATCATTGCAATCAGCAGATCAGATCTGACTTAGTTAATTTGTTGTTTAGTTTAATTTATATAATATGTATTGCAAAATAATTAATTTTTAAAAAGAAGACCAATTTGGTGGCAACCACAGAGCAAATGAAAAGAGTAAGGAACTGTGCACTGTGATTCTAACAAGGTCCTGACGTCATCACAGTGGGCGTGGCTTTAGTTAGTATACTGTCAGCGTTTGTCCTATGCGCTTATGTGTCGAAAATCGCAAATCGTTGTATTTTCGTAGTATTAAGAAGAAAAGGATGAAGTGTTGTGTTTTATCGTGTAGAAACTACTCAGATAGACGCTCTGATGCTATGGATGGCATCACATTTCATTTGTAAGTAATTTTATACCTAATTTATTAAAATACTTCTACAAAAATGTCTGCGTCAGCTTTCAAATATAGTTAAATATATTCGACCCTAGATGGCGACACTTTGTTGCATGGGAAATAAAAATATAAATGTACATAGAGCTCAGTATTGGTAAAATAATCATAAGAAGGTGCTGAAATTCGTTTTGCATTCAGTGCTAAAGAATTTTTAATCGCCAAAATATTATTTTTAGTTTTTATAATAATTTTGTGAACAGGCAGTCATCTATAGTCAAGGTAGCTACACTACACAGCAACATCGTTATGGAACGATGCAAGTAGTTTTACTATTTATCGGTAGATGGAAAATAGTTAAGTGGGTGAGGCTTAACACCCCCTAAGCCCCGCAAATTATCACGCGTTGTTACATAGTGAAATCTAATTACAATACCTCCTCTTAGTATTTGCTCGGTGGTGGCAACAAATAAAAATAAAAAGAATAGTTTGGATATATTACATCCAATTTTTAATATATAACAATTATAAAACAATATAACAATATTATAAAATTGGATCAGTTACTGTTTTTAAAAAAATCTGATTCTTTCTAATCCTGAAACAAGTGTGCTGCATTGCTATCTACACCTGAATCAGATGTTTTGAATCCTGAAAATTTATACATGTATGTAAAGAAATCTTAATATTATAGATTTCCAGGTATGGTGATAATCTTTACCTTATTACCAGCTGCAAATGTTAAGGCCATTTCATCTGCACTTGAAGCATCAGCATAGTTTCGCACTTGAATCCTTCTTGCTGCTGTTCTGAGCATATTACGGAATGCCAGAGCCATTCTGTAAATTATGTAATATTATTTTATTAACAATAAACAAGAACATGTGACTAAAACTCAGCTCAACTCTGCAAAACCTAAAATAAATTTGAAGGTTCAAACTTATAAGGGATAGAATTTGTTTATGTTAGTCTCATCCAACAATATTAATCTGACGGATCACATACTTTTTGAGTTATTAATTTTCGAAATTAATTTTCACATGTGAAATTTATGATTTTTTAGATTTGGAACCTCTGCAAATGATTTATAGATATTTTATTGGATTATTTCCAGTTAAATTAACTGATTCTTTTTCTGCTTACATATGCATTGCCAATCATGGGACGTTGTGTATCCACACTGCTGTTCAATTTGAGCTGTCATGCGACATCGCATTTAAGTATAATACACTAACAACATTGAGACCATCATTCAAAGTCGGCACTGTAAATTGTTCTTTCTGTTCCTTGTCATTTTACTATTGACCTTCTTGTACAATATCATCTTCTCTATCTGATGCACAAATTGTAATAGAGTTATCTACCTTTATTAATATTCGTTTGCAATGTCTTCGTTTGGAATTCTGCTCTCTAGCTTTGATATAATGCAATTTTTTCTTTTATATTGATTTTTTCCTTCTCTTTATGACATGTTAAAAGTTTCACAATTAACTTTATAACAATATGCTTTGGTTTGTTTTGTGTACTGATAAATATTAAGTAACAAACTGTACAGAAAAGTATTAAGTAACAAAGTGACTGAATAGTGAATAGGTATGAGGAAGCTGCCTTTCATTATACTGCTTACATGTGTATTTTGTTTTTTAGAATTACAAAAGACCTTAAACTTAACACGTTTTTGTTTACTTTTGCAATTTCAATGCCACTGATTATTATACTGTGCCCTAGCTAACATTATCCATATCTGGCAAGATGTGGATAATGTTACCTATTCAAATTGTTTGCAATACAGATGCCCCTTCTAACACATACTATTATCCAAAAATATTAGTTAAATAAAGTCACTTAATAAGGCATGTCGTAATAAGCAATGTCGTAAAATAGTGTTTTTTATAAGGTGAATATATAGCATTCAGCTGGGAACTATGATTTTGGTCAGTATTACCCAAATGTAGTTCTAAACAATATTGTTGTAAACGGTTTAACTGTATATTATATTGACTGCTGTTCTGGTCTAAAGGATATAGATATAGAGTGACAGTATAATTTCAGTCTATGAAACATTTTGTCTTAAGCCTAAGAGGTCACACATCTGAAGGCTTCTGTTGATGCAACTTTTATAATTTTTACAAAATATATTTAGTGGAATATGCTTAAACAGTCTTAAATTAAATATTCATTGTGGAAATAATAAACAACATCCAATTTCTAGGCATACACTATACCAATAAATACACATTCATTGTATTAAAGTGGTCTGAAAAACTGCTTATTAAACTTTATTACATATATTTTACTTATTTATTTATAACAACATATTGAATTAATCTTTTTTGACATAGGTTTTAATAATTTAACTATCCTTTATGTTATAATCGAAATTAAACATTAATTTGTGGCACTAATGTGACAAAATGCAATCACAGCTTTGAGTTGCATACAAAGTAAATCCATAATGATTTTAATGAAAAAATACTTTTTTCAGTAAAATCATAATCTAAATTTAGGAACACATAGCATATCATCTCAATCCATTCAAAAGGAGATAGTGACAATGTTTTCAAAAATAAACAATGGTAGAAGTGTCAAAATGTTAGTCTCCTTGCAAATTAAAATTTATTTATTTAAAATATTATTATTGAAAATTCTTATTTTAGATTTCATAAATAGAAATAATGTAACAAACGTAAAACATTTATAGATTATTTGAATATTGTAAAAGTTCACAATAATACACTAAAAATATGTTTAGCTGTAAAAAATTGTAAATAATAAAATCAAGTATTTATAAATTCTGATAATAGGAAACGGCCAATAGTCCGAAAACTATGCGTTTCTGAAATATCGTATTTTAGGACTAACCAACATAAGGTCTGTTGCTCATAAAAGTTTGAACAAATTATGAAACCAATTTTTAATTGCATGTAGGTTTTGTAAAGTTGTGCCTATTTCTATTGTTGTTGTAAGTATATATGAAAAAACACTGCACAACTAATTCCTAACCTTGTTTGGCCAAAAAAATAGACGAATATCTGCTTTCTATTAAAGATAAAATGTATCTATGTGTAACACTGCCTTACAGTCAAAATTGTAATAAATAAGTAAAGTTAGCATTTAAATCAATAATTAAAGCGAGAATATTCAACAGTAACACCAAAAGAATGTTATATAATATTATGCATCGAAACGCTCATTACGTAGATTTTTTAAAAATAAATACCACCAATGAAACAAACTATTACCATAAGCATAAATATTCTTTAATTTACTACTTACTTCGATAGATGATATTCTCAAAGTGCGGGTCTTAGGATAACAATTAATACTAAATTGCTAAATCCTAAGCTTTTAGAAGACCTTTGGTTGGTTGCCAAAAGCTGTCTTGCTCTCTTGCTCTTGTCTAAATGACATTTCACACCTAGTGATGTACGAGTTCGTAAAATACTGTATAAAAACCGGATACCCAGAGAACAGAATATTCACCGGTTCTTTTAAAAATTACCGAAATTCCACATTCATATAGAATCGTCTCCGAAAAAACGATAAGGGATCTGTAATGCTGTCAATTTGGCCTATGAATTTGATGTATATATATAAAAAAATACTGGCAGACGTATTTTAAAAAGCACATTTCAAGAATATTTATTATTTAAACTACCCACATGTAGTCTAGAAATAAAAATAAATAAAGATCATACCTTATAACGTCGATATTACTTCCAATAATTAGAATTGGTTACTTTTTACAGTACAAAAACTGCACCTTGCTTGAATATAATTACACCATCGTTAATTAAAATTAAAATAATATCTTTATTAAAATCCTTGTAATGGCTAAAAAAAAATCTTTTCCCATTAGTGTTAATAAAAACACACAGAATATATATGTTACTGTAAAAGGCCGATTTTTAGTGAATCTTAGGTTTTACTTTTAAATCCTAAGATTTACCAACATGAGCTGGTAAATGTAAGGATTGATATAAAATGCGACGATTTTTCGAGCTTTTACCATTAGAGTTTGGTACATCCTAGGTTTAACCAAAGACTAACAGTAAGTGTTGGTTTTGGAAATGAAACAATATATTGATATAAGTAGAAAGTATTTATTAAACATTAAATCGTCCGCAGCTTCGGTTTGTTGGTCGCCTTCGGCGACCAGCCTCAGCCGTTCCGGCTCGTCCGATGCCTACAATTTGTTACAGCAGGCGGAGGCTGCTCTTCCCGCAGCAGTTTGTGACTTCGTTGCATTCTCAAAATAAAAACAGAGGGTGACACAGGTAGCAGGGAGGGCTGCACACTGTCCGCAAGTACGATGATGCGCCGAACACGTCTAGACATGACTATTTTTCAACATTTACCGTTTCTTAGCGGTAAAACCTAAGATTTAGTGAGTGAATGCTTGTAAAAGTACGAAATAAACGATTACCATAGAACACTTCGGACTTTTACCTTATGGACTTGGTAAATCTTAGGTTTTACTGCAAAATCTTAGAATTTGCCGTAGTTCTAGCTTTTACAGTAACATATACATAAGGAGTGTTTGTGTAGGTTAAAAGTGAATCAAAATTTATAGGACGAGGGATATCAGGAGGGAGATGATCATAGAGTGAACAAGATAATTTAGGACAGTTAAAAAAAATATGGTCGTAGGTTCCCTTATCTAACCCACATTCGCAGAGGGAACTATCCCTAATTCTCAGTTTGGCTAAATGTACTACATACATGTGTACAAGCAGGGCCAGTTCTAAGTCTATAAATAGTTGATGTTGAATGTTTGTTAGCTTTGTTATATTTGAAAAACCATGGTTTTGGAGATATGGCATATTGTATAGTAGCATAGTGTTTACCTACCTTTTATATTTTGAGTGGCTTTCCATAATGTTTTCCAATTATTATTTTTAACTTCCTATTTGCAAGTAACACTATGTCTGAAGAGTACGTTAAATTACATGGCAAACCATTGCGACTTGTATTTTTAGCCATCAGATCAGCTTTTTCATTGCCCTTGATGCCACTATGACCTGGAATCCAAGCTAAGGAAATCTGAATGTCCTTGAGATGACATCTGTACAATGTGTGTTTAATTTTGAGAATCAAGGGTATCTTATATTTACTTTGGAACTGGTTTGACAAAATTGCTAACAAACAACTTTTAGAGTCGGTAAGAATAACTGACTTATTTAAGTTGTGTGCTTTTATATATATTAAAGCTTCATGAATTGCCGTGGCCTCGCAAGTAAAAGTGGAAGAAATAGAAGGGTATTTAAAATTGAGAATTATGTTGTATCTGGGAATCCAAACTGCAGCTCCAGTATAACTTTCGTCTCACTTTTTGTATGCATCAGTGTATATAATAAGCCAGCCTTTCCATAAATTAACTATGACTCTACTTAGTTCACTATTTGCTATAGGGCAATCTTTCTCAATACCAAGGTCGAGGTGGATATTTGGTTGGAAAATAATTGCATCATATGGGATGTCAAATATGGGACAGGACTTACATTGTGATACTGGGTGTGGTAGATGGAGTAATGTTACCAAACTGTTGGATAAGCAGGGAGATTCTTTGTGAGTCCAGTAATACTTTGACGAAATATATTCCAAAAGAAGGTGTAATTTAGGAATGAGACTGTGGGAAGAGAGTTGGGAGGTTTTAAAAAAGAAACCGACAGCGGATTGCTATTCCTGTATTATTGTTTAAATGATGCTTTAAAAGATTTAAGTGGATTTTGATATTATGCAAAAGTAGTGTGATTTTGTGTATTAAATGTCTGCGCATGTGAACTAATAGTGGAAACAGTGAAACAAGTAATCCGATGGTGATGTGAATCTCAAGATAAGGTGTCCGTCTGGTTAGGCGCCTTTTTTTATAGAATAAGTGTGACAAACAAGCACACAGTATATCAGATGGTAAGTGGTTGCTGTGGCCCATAGACATCTACATTTATCTTCGTTTGCGAAGTAAAATGCAGATGCGTTGTCAGCCGTGAGCACTAAGATAGAATGCCTCTTTTCCAATAAAGAGGGTCTCCGGTTCTCTACACTCACCATACGAAACACAGCATCATTAAGCTGCTAATTTACGCTGGTATTCTGTGAGAGCGTGGTCCTTCCCCGGTCGAGCCGACCCATTCGTGCTACAACCAAACTATTAATATAGCTGCAGCATGGCTGTACCATACCTTGAAATACTATCGCCAACTGTCTGCTGGCTCAAGTTTCCGTCAAAATCTTCCAATGACTGCGCAATGTGACACATCAACATAATATTGTTAAACAGTGTACTATAAAGGATTATTATCACTTGATACTGAGATAAGTGAAGACATGGTTTAAATGACAATCATCCAAGCCAAAAATCTAAATAAAAAAGTTATCATCTTAAAATACAAACATCCAGGCCACAAATCTTAATTAAAAAAAGGTGTCATCAAAATCATAGATCAAAATATATCCAAGTTCGCGGTATTTATGATGAATTTAAAAGGAATAAATATTAATTTGCTGACAAAACTTTTTTCCCAACAAGTAGATCTTGGAACTTGCTTAGAATGGTATGTCTAATGTTTCAACACTATAATTTGCCCTTTGTACAATATACTTATTTGAAAAAAGTGACGTTTCTACAGTAACAAAATCATAACATGTTGCGTTGCATCATATGTATAATCTCTTACAGTCCTAAATGACTGATATAATACATATGTAGCTAACTAGGTAGCTTAATGCAAACACTGATAAAATGTATGAGATATTAAGAATTTATATATTTTTTTAACTAATGTGACAAACGAAACGCAGTCAACCTGGTGGTAAGGAGCTATCTACTTTCCAGTTTATAAAAAGTACTCTGTGTATCTACTACACCTGTAGACCAATTATACTTGCAACCAAGTTCAAATAAAAGCCACAGTTTGCAAGGGCTATCCCCTCTGAGGTGTGAAGTATTATATTTAATCCTTTAACCTTCAACTAAAACCCACTACAAAGAAGTGGGAGGATGTTTGGTTAAGATTTAGCTTTTAATGAGAAGAGTGAGAGTAAGACGAGAGTGTGAATATTACTTTTGCAATTTCATTCATTTATTTGCAATTGTTTTTTTGGTGTAGACTACTAATAGTGTATGCATCTTCGCTGCAACTGTCAAATTCCATATGTGCATTTTTTCATTGTTTGTTTTTTGCGCTAAACATAATTCGTCTCTATGTGTTGATAATGTTCTTTTTGCGATATTTGAACTAGAAACAATCCTAACAAATTCCATATGTATTTTAACCATTTAGAAAAATTTGTATGTGCAGAAATGCACATAAAGGATTTGTGTTCCGTCTTCAGTCTCCTGAAAACAGTGTTAGTGATGTAAGGGATGTGGTGTAAACAACATGATAAAAATAATTTTAGGAGTCAAAACACAGTACAAGTATATAGTGATAAATTACCATATAAATCTTTTACTGTGTTGACAAATCACTGACCAGTTAAGAGAGGATATGAAATTACTTGCAGAAAAATAAAGATAACTGCTTTCTTGATGAAAAGATTGGGATAAGAGAGTATGGTTTGCATATACAAAGTTGAGTTTCCGAATAGTGACTAGGAAATAAATAGAAAACAAAGGGAGTTCTTCAATAAACTACAGAGGATATGTGACAAAAAATACAGGAAAGAAGAAATGTGATGAAATAGGTGAGAAATCGAGATATGAATTAGGACAATACAACACAATACTCTTTATTGTGCAGCAAGGAAGGATAAATATAACAAAAATAAACAAATATTAAGGGAAAAATAAAAGATGGTCTTATTAAAAGATTAATGTGTGGGATTTTTTTTATAGAATAAGGGTAACAAACAAGCACCAAATAAGAATACTGTGACTTGAGGATTCTTAATACTATAGTGAATGTCGTCTGCAATTTTTAATAACGCCATAGTCGTACTATCACCAGATCTAAAGCCAAATTGGAGAGGATTGAGGATGCTATTTATTAAACAAAAGGAATTAATATGTTATTAGACAAGGCATTCTATGACTTTGGAAAGGAAAAATTTAAGATAAAGGTAATAATAGGTGTTAAAAGTCTAGTCAGAATGGATAGAGAGTATATGTCTCCTAACATCACAATCTGTTAATTGCTTAAACAGCTGTTGTTATTGCATTAAGATTGCAACAACAATAGCTCAATGGAGAAAAGTTAAGTGAAAAATGATGAAAATTGAGTCATTGTTATTGATTTTGCAATATTATCCAAGCAAGCTGAGGAGAAATACTAATTTGTATGTGAAATGTGTAGAGAATGCATGAATGTGTTTTCCCAACTCCTATGGACCTTAAGAAGTTCTAAGCACGACAATGGATCTTTGTTTTGTACTGATTTATGGAATTGCCGGCGTTGTTAATCTCTAAACATTTGGTTGCACTTATTCCGCAGGAGTCTGCACTTCTCCTGAATCCTGTCATTCTTTGGATTTGACCTGTTTCTTGCCTTTATGTCTCTATCAATCTTTTAAGATCTTCAGTCAACATGACATACTCTAATCGGACGAATAGGAGCATGTGCATCATAGAATTGAACAAGAAGTGAATTAAACATTGCTATCTGTTCGTCAATAGTATAATTAAAGGCTTAGGTTTCCATTGACGTCTGTCGAGTTGGGTGTTGATACGTATTTTTACAGAAAAGTTACACTATTATAAGCACACACACATTGTGTCAACATTCGGAAATGTGTAATTTTTGAGAAAAAACTTATTGTAAATCAATTATTCTTGCAATGTTTACGTCTAATCCTACCGTAAAACTGGCGCCATTTTGTAATGTTTTTGTCGTCGTCAGTAGAGATGTCGATTCTTTCCGAAAAAGGTAGATTTTTAAATCAATTCAAATTGTAAGCTGATGTATCTACTCACAAAAAATCAATTTCCAAAATATGTATATTTTTTTCATGTTTGCATTTATAATGTAAATATAAATCCATTTTATGAAAAACAAGAAAGATACCGTGATAAATGATCTCTTATTGAAATTTGTTTTATTTTAACAGTACCTATTGGGGCAGATAACAAATAAAATAGGTTAGGTTCAACTTATGTCAAAGAACCGAATTGATTGACCCCAACTCCACCTGGTACGAGTCTGTCCTACCCCTAGAGTGGTTTTATAGAGCCGGAGGCGCGAAGGGGGAGCAGCCTCCGCCTGCTGTAACAACATTGTAGGCATTAGACAAGCTGGAGCGGCTGAGGCTGCGGAGGCGAGGATTTTTTCTCATAAAACACTTTTGAAAGTTATTAAAGCACATTCTGTCAAAGAATGGTTGAACTTGGTAAATGAAGTACTAAATCACTATTCTATATCTTATTTTATAGTTCTAGTAGTTTGTAATAATTTTACTATCTAAGTATTTTGTAACCTAAATAAACCCAAGATCACATAATGATAAACCTAATATCAAAAAGCAAAAAGTGTCACATTGCCGAATCCTTCATGAGCAATAACGCACATACTGCATTGTTTTAGATGGTTCTAAACCATTTATGTGCACGATTTGGTTTTAAAAAAATTCTAGCTCCTTAAATAAAAAATATTTACGAAAAATTTTGTAGTTCTAATATGTCACAAATAAATGTCTATTTGGCATTAATAATTTGGCAGTGTTGAATTGAATTGACTGTTTTCCGCAACTCCACATCTAAGCGCGTATTTTGCGTGTGGGCAGGAATAATGTATTTATTCGAGCCCTGAAATCTCCCTGAATACATTTACAGTCCTTTGAGCAAGCAACTTTGGGCAGTGATCCCGGTATATGGAGATGTTTAACCCTGTATGCAGCAACTTCCGGACATGTCAACAATACGTAGGCTGCCATTTCTTCCTCCCCTATACATGCCCTGCACAGGGGACTGTCTGTAACACCTATGGTAAATAAATGTTTGTTAAAGGTGCCCTGTGATAGCACTTGTTACTATCCTGATCTGCGGCTTGTTGAGTCTCATTAGAACCTTGGTTAAACAACTGTTTATTTCAGGCAGGGCCTCCCTAGCTTGTCTACAGTCTACTAGATTTTTCCAAAGTTGAGCATTTTGATTAGTGAATTGTCTACATACCAATGAACAAACGTTACCAAAGGAGGTTGGTATTATTGGTTTCGGCCCTATAGTGGCCAGAGCCGACCCTCTTCTGGCCAGTTCGTCTGCTACATCATTGTCTCTGTATCCACTGTGTTGCTTTATCCATTGCAGAGTCACATTGTTGTGTTTACATACCTCATTTAATCGTTAATGGCATTCATATATTAGTCCCGAGTTCACCATATTGCAATTCAGGGCTTGTAGTACCGCCATACTGTCGGTCAGTATTCTGATGGAGAAGGCATTAACCTTCCTAGCGTCTATTGCTATGGCCACTTGAATGATACCCATACATTCCGCCTGAAGGACTGTTTTGTAGGTACCCAGTGGTCTGCATATGTGGATGTAGAGGTCTTCAGAAAAAGTTCCAGATCCTACACTATCATTTGGTTTAGAACCATCCCTCTGGCTGGCTGGTTTCATTTAATATTTCATTAATATTTCTTATCGACTACAAATTATTTGGGTATCTTATCATTGTTGGCTTGTAAGATAGGCATTTTTAAGTGAATTCTGTCAATTATGCCTGTATGAGGGACTCTATTCTTACTCCAAAGATTTAGGGTCTTGAGTCTAATGACAGCTAAAGTTGCTTCTTGTTGTAAGTGTAGATGAAGCGGGATTAGCTCCAGCATCGCCTCTAAGGCTGCTGTTGGCTTAGTTCTTATGCAGCCTGTGGCAGTCATACATGCCAGTCTCTGGTAACGCTGAAGCTTCTTTATAGTGGTGACTTTGGTCTATCATACCAGAACGCCGTATGTGATCATGAGCCGAATTACAGTTTTGTATAGCCACAGTATGATTTTTGGCGTCAGATCCCAATCTTTTGCCAATCATGTTTCTGCATTGCCAGAAAGTTATACTAGCTTTGTTTATTTTGTTTTGTTGAATGTGTTTATTCCAGTTGAGTTTACTGTCCAGGGTAAGACCTAAATATTTTACCTCGGAGGATAGCTGGAGTTTAGTGCTGAAGACTTGAGGGATGATAGTTATTCAGCATTCGTTTTTGGGTGAACATTAATTACTAGAACCTTTTTATTTGGATTGACGGTTAAGTCGTATTCCCTGCACCATCTCTCCACTATACGGAGAGCCGCTGGGATCAGGTCGCACACCATGCTTGCTGTCTTTCCAGAGACCAGTATTGTCAGGTTATCAGCATAACCTACTGTGTAGAAGTGATTGGAATTTCATTTGCTGATGAGTTCCTTAATGACCATATTCCATAGGACAGGTGAAAGAACCCTACCCTGCGGGCAGTTTTTCTTACTCTGGATGGTTTGAGATTCACCAGCAATCTTTATTGTTCGTGTACTGAGCATGTTTACTATCCAGTCAATCAGTGCTGGTTCAACTTTATGCCAACTGAGTGCACTTTTTATGCTGGAGAAGTTTGTTCTGTCAAAAGCACCTATATCTATGAAGGAACCTAAACATATTACTTTGTTTTAGACAGGGATGGAAAAAAGCATGGTTTTTTTAATTTTAATCAAATCATGCTGATTTTTTTTAAAAAGTCATGATTTTATTGATTTTTTTGGTATATTTTTAAATTCACGAGTTGGTAACACTTTTTGACATAGTAGGATTAAAAGTTTATGAATACATATATATGAGACTGCATAAGAGTAAAATAATTAATACGGTAATTAATAGAATCAGGCGTTAATTTGCGGAAATCCATTATATAAAAGCTTTTAGAAAAATTTACTTCGCAAATATCCGCGTTATAAAATAAAATGATGTGTCTTACCTAGTATGAAGAGCACCTCAGCACACACAGCAGCAGCCCTTTATTACACGTATGTAAGACTTTAAAGGAGTGCGGCTTTGTGTGCTGGAACAGTTAGAGATATTAAAAAGTAACAATAGTACCGTTGCATTGCTGAATGAATAAATAAATGTTACTAACTCACCTCTCTTAAATATCTTTAAGCCTGCTCTCTAATAATAGAAAGCCTCGCAATATGGTCGTTTGTCACCCTCACGGTGTTCGGTGATTGGTTGCGTGGTTGGAGGGTGGGCGTTGCGCGGCGTTTTGTTTTTAATTTTACAAACGGCTGCGTAAGTCCGGCGGTGATTGGTCGCATGTTTTATCGCATGACGCAGTCGCTCGCTCCTTAAGTAGAGAGCGGTTGCGTCAGCGGTCTGTATAAAAGGCACTTGTTTTGGCTCGCCGCTCACTTAGCGGTTAGCCACCGTAGAGTCTATATCACCTGAGGATGCCTCGTGTAGAGGCGAAACACGTGTCGTATTATCGTCAGTGGTGTGTCTTGCCTAGTGTAGTGGTGTTGGGAGTAGCGGTGCTGGGATTAGTGGTGACGGGGATAGTGCACGCAATTGAGGGAGGGCGGGAGGTGCTCTTCATACTAGGTAAGACACATCATTTTATTTTATAACGCGGATATTTGCGAAGTAAATTTTTCTAAAAGCTTTTAATTAATACTGTATTAATTAAAGTTCATATCTAGTATGAATTTCTAAAAAAAATTTTTTTGTTTGATTTTACTAAGTTTATGAGACTGACAGACCTCATCGCTACAGTCTTTGTTGATTTTCCAAAGTTTATGAGTCTATTGTAGTAGAATAATAAGAAAAACATAAAGCAAAAAAATATTTTACTTGTTTTAAGCCAGTTTTATTTCATTTTCTGCCTATTACATTAATTTATACGTGTTGATTTAAATCAATGATTTTTTAATCAAAATCAAGCGATTTAAATCATGATTTAAATCGGTCTGATTTAAATCAGCCAACCCTGGTTTTGGATGGCCTCTTCAATTTTTGTTATTACCTGGTGAAGTGCTGATTCTGTCGATTTACCTAAGCTGTAGTCGTGTTGTTTGTCGTGTAGAGGTAAGTTCTTTAGCGCCGACCCCTTAATTCCCTTTCACACATCCTCTCCATTGTCTGTAGGAGTAAGGATATGAGGCTAACAGGTCTGTAAGATTTAGGGTCTGTATAGTCGCTCTTACCTGGTTTAGGTATGAATGTGATTTTCACTTCCCTCCATCCCCTAGGAACATATTTAAGAGCCAAATATGCTCTCATTATGGTAACAAGTCTGACTATTAGGGCTTTACCCCCCACTGTAGGAGTGCCGGGAATATGCCGTCAGGTCCTGCCGCCTTGTAGGGGAGGAAACTGAATCGGCCAAATGGATTTTGTCCATCGTTACCACTCTGTGCTATATTGCAGTATTCTGTTGTTGGTGTCAGTGCATTTTCATGGCAGTTTACCGCCTGAGTTACGCGGCAACCTGGGAAGTGCGTTTCAATTAGGATGCGTTGGGTTTCATCCGGCGATGTTGAGTAGCTTCCATACGGGTTTCTTTAAAGAGATGGATCCCGGCGTGTTCTGTTTAGCTAGGATTTTCCTTATCCGATTCGCTTGTTCACAGGTTTCTATGTTACCACAGAATTTACGCCACCCTGTCGAGCGTCGATACCTGATACATTTTTTGTATTCGGACTTGGCTTTCTTGTATAGTAGCCAGTCTTCATCCTTTCTTACCTTCTTACAATTTCTATCTAGTTATTTACCTTACCACAGTTGCTTTACCTCAGCATGTCTTCGTGGAGTGATTTCTGGTCATGATTCACGAGCGGCTGATCTGCTACAGTATTTGTCACTTCAAAACCCGCAGACGGAGACGTCAGTCTTTAAGATATTTTGTTTCATCCGTCTTGCGGGGGTATCTCCATGGTGGTGTAGCGGGGATATCGACCTGTTGTAGCAGATCCACCTATGTTCTGAGCATGAGGCCTCTTTCGACACATGCCATCCCATAATTAGTTTAGCTGCTCTTTCTGTTGCAAGTGTGAGGTCGATTATTGTGCGACGACTATTGTTTATGAAAGTTGGTTCAGAACCTGTGTTTAAAATGGTTAGGTTAGTGCTAAATAGATATTCAACTAAAACCTTATCTCGTTTATTGGGTTTTCCTTTCCCCCGAGGGGATAATGCGCGTTAGAGTACATCCTGATCCCAACCTTTAATCCGGTCCTCTCACAGAAATGCACCAGCCTGTCGAGGTCATGAGGGGGAGGAGTGTCTTCCTCCGGCATGTAGACCGAGGCGACGACTATTCTATCCTCCTGTGTGTTTTGTAATGTTATGGCATACATGTCCCTGGAACAGAAATCTGTTAATGGTTGTGCACAGATATGTTTAGTAGTTTAAATACGTGATCTAGGCTTGTCGTGCTTAGATTTGTAGAATAACTTACCTTTTAGGTTGTTTAGGCCCTTGGTTTTACCGGCCCCAACCTACGGCTCTTGGATTACGACTATGGACGTCCGTTGAGCCTCCAACCATTTGGCAGTGTTTCTGTTTGTTTATTCAATAACACGTATTTTGTTGTTTCCCAAAACCTTAGAAATATCACACACATGGAACTTGTCAGTCGCAGATCTTGAGAGTCGCACGATATATTGTTGCGCAAATATACCCATAAATCACACTTATAAAAAGCACTTTTACATGTTAAGTACCTACTCTAGATTTACTAGTTGTCGAAGATAGAAAGAAGAAATATTATGTGTGCATGAGTGTTCATGCATAGATATTTCTTATTTTTAGCATCAAGAAAGTTGATCATGATTTTAGTGTCACTTGAAATGTACACAGCTTCTTACCTATCTTTGTAGATCTAAGCTACCCATGCATGATAACTTGAGATCTTGGTGCTATTACTGTCCCTTCCCTCTGCATGCACCTTTGTTGTACATTGAGCAACACCATTCTTTACCATGGTGGCTGTGATGTCACCACACCCAGGTCTCAAGTTATCATATCATACATGGGTATGTGTAGATTTTAAGTTATAATATATGCGTACATCGATTGAGACAAATGCAGAGAGAGTTCTGTTCTATAATTGTATTATTAATAATTTGCATTTGGCTAGTACACTTTCGTTTCGATAATTTGCATAGGATTTACGAGTACTTGATTTAATTCCTCCCTCCTCTTTCCACCATTTACAACCAGAAGATTGGAGGGTCTCCACAACTTTGTTGTTCATATTCCATGCATTTGAATTAAATAGTTTGTGTTATCTGTTATAATGTATACAGCATAGGTGTGGAATAATTTACCAGCGTTTGTATTTCCATCTATACACAACCTTAATGTCTTCAAGGCAGATTGACTAACCTTTTTTAGGTTTAGACAATTTGTTTTATCATCTAGGGCTTCAACACCGCTTAACATCAGGTGGGATTGAAGCACTGGATTATAATAAGTAAAAAAAAATATTTGGAATAAATAAATATTATAATTATAATCAATTATTACTTAAGGCTCAATTCACATTGCCTATCCATTACCATAACCATAACATCCCATCAACCAATCTTGTCAAATAAAAGATCTAGACTAAATAACTGAACAGTGGTCTTAGCTTGGAGGCGCAGCGAATTCGCGCGCCTTACTGCACTACTAGGCAAAATTGACACTGCCGTTTCATTCCATTCCGTTGCAATGTAAATTGAGCCTCATACATAATGGTTTTTGTTATTTGTTCTAATTTCAGCTGCAGATATTATGTTGCACCAGCCACAGCTGCCTGTGGACATACTCTATGTCTTGGGTGTTGGCGAGGCAGACGTAAATGCCCTAAATGTGCGATTCCTGTGGAAAAGAAAAATTTACAATTAAATCTTCCATTGCAAAATTTTACTCAACATATTCATCTGCTTGTGGAAGCTTTTGAAAAACTGTTTAACATAAAATGTTGGTATCATTTGTTACTGTTACTTTTTAACTATTATTTTTTTCTGTTGTATTATATTATGGTTTCCAAATATTTCTTTTATTGCATGACCTTAATTACTGTGTGTACGTAAATTGTTAGCAAGTTGAACAAGTTTATGATTCCATAGAGTGTGAATTGTTATAGTCATTACATAAAATGTATGGTTTTATCAAGTTAATTATTTTAATACGTCCTATCAAATAGAAATTATAAATTTTTTTTTTCATTTGAATATTTTCGAATACTATAAAATAACCCGTTTTTTTTTAAAAAAAAAAAGTTTTCACTGCTTGTTTTTAGTGGTGGTTATTAAAGTTAACTATGTACAGTCTTCAATAGTTAAGAGTTCTTTTAATAGGCATTATAACTGTCTTATATACTGTGAAGTATGCAATTTCTGGTATTGTAACCACCAATCTGCCTGCTAAACATGGCGACTATGGCGAATCCTCTATTCTATTGGAGAAGTCTATTGTAGCGGCTAATTGATTATGTGTTGACAAAGAAGAAGAATATATTCTGATCATACATCCTTTTTGAATCTTGTCATGTTAGAAATAACTATTAGTTTAATCATATTACATAATCTGCTAAAAAAATATTGGTGTATTTTATGAGTTGTAAATTTAATGAGGGCTAATAATTTTCTGCTCACTAGATGTCGCTATTGACACTGATGTAAAGTTTTTTGTTACACAATATAATTTCATTGAGAAGTTGGTTTTAAAAGTTTATCAGTTTCTAGAGTACTATATTAATACACGAAACAATGCATCAGTAGTTTGCTCTTTAATTTTTTGCACATTTTTAACCTTCTTTTTTATTTTGTTACTTTTATAAATATCTGTGGTTTGGTTTATTTATTTTTAATCTTATTAATATAAAATATATCTAACAGTACAGAAAGAAACAATAACCTTTACATTTTCCGAACAAATTAACTTCCCCGCTACGAAATCAGTCAAATATTATACCTATTTTCTTACGTGGTAGAGCCATGCCGCAGCAATATTAGTAGTATAGTTGTAGCCCGAATAGGTCAGCTCGACCGGAGAAGGACCACGCTCTCACAGAATACCAGCGTAAAATAGCGGCTTAACGATGTTGTGTTTCATATGGTGAGTTTAGAGAACCGGAAACCCTTTTACGGGAAAAGAAGCATTCCATCTTAGTCCTCTTAGGTCTCACGGGTGACCACGCATCTGCATTTTGATTCTTTCTTTGATATTGAGAATAGATGTAGATGTCTATGCGTCACAGCAACCATTTACCATCAGGTGGACTGTGTGCTCATTTGTTACCCTATCCTATAAAAAAACCTCACTTTCTAGTGGCGCCGCCCTGGTGGCAGAAAAAGTCGTCGATGCCCTCATTAGTGAAAATAGTCGTTAAATATTTCTAAGGATATTCTATTTTCTTTCATACCTGTTAGTATATTATTTAAGAATCCCTTTCTTTTTGTATATTTTCTACTATTTTCCTTTAATCTTCTTTAAGTGGACGAATTTACCTTGGAAGCACCAAACGAAAAGCAACAGGAAGAAGTTTCAAATAAAAATGTTAAAGACTGGTTGGCGAATTCCCAAAATCATTTTTCTGCTCCTATCAGCTCTCAATCAACGCAAGATCTAGATCCACACGTAGAATATATAACTAGTGAAATACAAGTTCATACTACAAATGTAAAGACTAGCAGTCCAGGTAAAAAAGTTTATGTACCTGTTCCTCAAAGTGATTATGATAAAATTGAAGAAATTACAGAAACTGAAGAATGTTTATTTGTAAAACAACAACATATTGCAGACCAAGTGGCTACAGAACCATCTGTTATTAATGACGATGAATACACTACAGAAAAGCCACGTAGAAGTTCTAGAAAAAAAGATACAAGTAGTACTTTAAAAGGTTCTGTAACTGAAGATGTTACTGAGAAGATTAGTGCCAAAACATCAACCATTGCATCCTCCAAACCATCTAGTAAAATGAAACAAACATGGAATAATGTAAAGAGAATGAAAAAAGAATTTAGTAGATTAAACAAGGAAAATAGAAATAAATTAAATGTGTCTATTGAAATGTGTAAAAAAACTCAAGTGTCAAATAGCAAAACAAAATTATCTGATAAAGAAAAATCACCGTCACCAACTCCAAATATCATTGAAGCTGTTACCCCTAACATTCCCCCTGCAGGTAAAGAGTTAGAAAAGCATGCATTAATAGACAAACACAATACAATACAAAATACTGTTAATGATAAATTACAAATAAATACTGAATTGCGTCCAAAACTAGCAACGTCAGTAAATCATTTTAATCAGGAAAATGCTGAAATAATTGCAGAGGATAGTAAATGTAATTTGGTAAACAATGAAATAATGATTCTTGAAGACAAAATAATACTCCCACAAGAACAAAAAAATACTCCAGTGGCTATTGAAGATAGATGTACCAATGAAGCAGTGATAGACAATTCAAGAGTAAAATTCTTTAAGAAAAGTGCTTTACATGCTAAAACAAAAGAGAAGATTGAAGAATTTAAATGTAAAGATTTTAATGAAATTACAACTGATGATATCGAAATTTCAATTAAAATTGGTAAAACTAGAACAAATATATTTATAAAGAAAAATGAAAATGATGTGCGATTAAAAATTAATACAGATCGTGAAGTACAAACTTCTTTAGAAAATGATAATAATATTTATGACTTAATTCGAACTTCAGATTGTAATAAAGAAGAAACAAATATACAAAACATCGAAATTGATTTAATTGAATCTAAATGTACTAATAATACACAAGCGAAAATTGTTCAATCGTCTAAAAAACCTCTACCAAATCAAAATTTACATAAATCTAGTTCAACAAAGAAAAACACTGCATCTGCAGATACTGTAACTGCACATTTTGAAATAACTGAGAGTGTTGAAAAAGAATTATCGGACATTATGGAATGTGTTGAAAGTGAAAGTATACAAAATCCTAAAAAAGATCTAACACACAGGTGTCAAATAATAAATAGAACTGCAGTTGAAAATTTGCAAAGTTCGTCACAAAAAGAAAATATTCCTGATGACAATGATTTAAACTTTATTGATTGTGAATCTTTAAAAGCATGTAGTGTTCAATTACTTAAAACATCAAAAAATGTAGCTTCAAAAATTTTACTATCAACGCAAAGCAAAGATAAACAAAAGCAATCAGATAAACGAGTCCGAGATATAAATAGTGACGAAAACTTACCTGTAAATAAAAAGCAAAAGATCTTAAATGAATATAAAAATATTCACGTTGAAAAAGCAAGTAAAGTTATTCAGGAAAATTCTAAAGCAGTATTAAATGAAAGTGAGTGTAACAATTATGATATTGTTATGGGCAAAGTATTTGCTAATATTGATGCAGATATTGAAAACAATGAAAATGATGAAGACTCAAACAAAAGAGAATCTCATAATACTAAAAATACACGTGATCGAAAAGAAGCCTGTGACTCTGAAATTGAAAACCCAAAGTACAGCGAAAATATTTTTTCAGTTGTGGAAAATGATGATAATGGCCAATCGAAGGAGTTAAATTCTCAAGTAAGTTGTTTATTCTGTAATTGTTACTTATAAATGTTTATTTTATAAATTTAATATAAAATTTCTATTAGCAGATGGCAAAAGCTACTCACCAAAATAAAAATCCATTGACACCAAACTTATGCCGAGAATTTGCTTCATTACATAAAGGAGATATAGAAACTGAAGACTTAATGATCGAGCTAGGGACACCATTCCACGAAAGTGATGATTCTGACAAAAGTATAGTTGAAGACACCCCACAAAAGTTAGTATTATTTAGAATCAAAGTTCGATCACTCAAGTACTATAATATTACACACACATCATACTACACCTTGCAAAAATTATTAGAAGAATGAAATAGAATGTTTCGCGCTTAAGCTGTGCGTGACCGCACATGACCCCAAGCGAGTTATAGTTGTAGCACCGCTATCCGTCGTGCTACAGCGCCGCGGTCTCGGTGCGGGACGCGGGGGTGAAATTGTATATTTTTCTGGCTTAGTACCCGCTCCTAATGATCCTTGAACTTCTGAACGACTTCACCTACTGGGGACTCATATTCAAACAGCGTTGTAGGTGGCGCTGTAGTCAAGATAGCAATAATACAATATTTATTAATCAAATGACTCGCATATAGTACTACGTTGATCAATAAGTTTTTGGAAACGCAATGAAACTAGGATAAGTACCTAGTCAGGTCATGAATTCTGTCACATGTTTAATATAAAATAACTGAAACAAGTTTATTCATTATGTAACCATTTATATATCAAAATGAACTTAACAAAACATAGATTCTTATGACACTAAAGTTTATTCAAAATGACCTCCGTCATTTTGAATACAGGCCTTCAATCTGCGCGGCCAGTCGTCTATCGCAGCACGAACGAGGTCCATGTCAATATCGGCGGCTGCCTTAATCAAGGATGTCTTGAGTGACTCCAAATTGGGATGAGGCTTTGAGCACGCCTTTTCCTCCAAGTGTTGCCATATCTTGTAATCTAAAGGATTCAAATCTGGACTGGAGGAGGGCCAGTCTTCGTGCCGGATGAAGTCGATTTCACGCGCCGCCAGCCAGTCTTAATTGCTCTTCGCTCTATGAGCTGGCGCCGAATCTTGTTGGAATACCCAGTGCCTGTTATTGAACATGGTATGAGAAACAGGTTCCACAAGGTTCGTCAGGACTCTATTTTGATACACAACTGCATTCGTTTTTACACCTTTCTCACAAAAATGAACCTCTGTTAAGCCCTAATAAGAAACTCCCAACCATACCATGAGCGAGGATGGAAAATGACCTCTTTGGACACGCGGAATACGGTCTCTCGCTTCTTTACTACTGTGTACACCTTAACATTTTGTTTGTTGTAGCTCTCTTCTACGGTAAAAATTTTTTCATCCGAAAAAAGTATTTCCCGATATTTTTTCCCGCGTACCGCTTCAACAAAGCGCGGCATCTCTTCAGTCTCAGATGCATTAGACGAGTATTCAAACGATGTCCTGTTTTTCTTCGATATGCCCGAAGCCCTAAGTCTTCATTTAACACCCTTTTCACCGTGGTTCTGCTTAACCCCATCTGAAGGGCCAACAGTTTCTGCTTACGTTTGGGATTTCTTTGAATTCGCGCCTTCACAGCTTTTATCACTGCTGGAGTCCTAACAGACCGAGGGCGACCACTTCTTGACCTGTCATCTACACTAGAGTCTTCATTGTATCGTTTGATGGTACGATAAATGAATCTTTTGGTTATATTCAAATTTTTCAGTATGTCAAAAATTTGAATTGGCGCGTAACCGCAACGATGCAACGCAATAACTGCAACACGGTCTTCTTTAAGCGTCCACTCCATATTTAAAAATGAGTAAAATTCTAAAAAGTATACAGTTTTATTTTCATGAACAATTCGAAATTCGAATTCAATAAACTTTTTTGTGGCCAGCATTCTAAAAGAAAAGTTTTTACTGTGTGACAGTACTTATGACCTGACTAGGTATATGTAAATTGTATTTATTTTTCAACGCCTTTTAAGTTAATACAACTTGAATAGCGTTTTGCAAGTTGGTAAATTTACTTCGAAAAAAAAAAAGCTTGATTCTCTGACTCGAAAAAGGCCTCTACAGCACACATCAGTGCTTTTTCAGATGAGTAAAAAGGTGAAATTCACTCGGAGCTAGGTTCGGAGAATATGGTAGGTGCTGCATCAATTGAAACCCAGCGGTTCGGATGGCAGCGCCTTTCTTTTTCTTTTTTAAAAATAAGTTACCCCCTCCCTAGGATTTTCTCTTGTATCCTGTAACATCGGATCGCTGGGCAGGGCCATTGTCATGATGAAAAAGCACTCCAGCACGCAATTTTGCTCAACATTTATTCTTTAGTTGTTTACGTAGTTTTTTCATTAATGATGAGTAATAATCTGCAGATATTGTCGTCCCTTTACTTAATCAATCGATCATTATTATACCTTCCGCATTCCAGAAGACAGAGGCTATTATTTTTCCAGCAGACACTTTGAATCCCTTAGCAGGCGGGGAAGACTGTCTTTTCACACCTTGCGGACTCCGGGTCAAAATGGTGTACCCATAGATAATATACTACCTAGGGTGTACCTACTTTTCATCTACAGTTACGAAACGAACGCAAAAAGAATCTGGATGTTCTTCAATTATCGCTAAATTTAGCTTCGAAATGTCAACTCTTGCTTTCTTTGGGCATCTGTTAACATTCGAGGAACCCAGCGCGCGGCCACCTTTTTGAATTTTAAGTTTTAAGGTATGAGTTAAAATAAATCTCGCTTTAGAATCTCGGCTTAATAACGTAAGGTCACACATCTTTCTACCTTAAAATTTCTTTCGATTTTTTAAATGTTTTCTTGCGTAACGGCCGTTGTTGGGCGTCCGGAGCGAGTGTCGCCATTGCAGACGGTTCTGCCGCTTTTAAATTCAGCGCACCACTATACCACTGTAGAATAAGACGGAGCATTGTCTGCTAAAGTAGACTACAGTTCTTTAAAAATACTTTTTATAGGAAAAATTTTCAGGCGGAAATATTTAGTAACGACACGAAGTTTGAGTTTCTCCATTTTGTATACGAATCAAATTCCCGTTAAAAGTGAAGTTTGAAAAAAATTAAGTATAGTTTTTTATGGCCTTGGCTACTAACTAATTTAACTTTCGAAAAAAAAAATAGAATGTATTCCTATAACTCATTGCTAAGTGTACTATTCCGAAAACTTATTGATGAACCTAGTATAATTAGATTTAGCGCCAAAAAAGAATCTCAATTCCGGACCCGATGGGTGACGCTGTGATCGAGATATCACCTACTAGAAAGCACATAACGATGTCTGCCGTGTCAGTTAGTCTTGTTTTTGTTTTGTAAAAATATCCATCAGATGAATACGTACCTCAGCTCTACCATTGCGAGAAACCCCCCGCGCCACCTCGTGCGTGTAGAATTATATTTTCTTTTTTGTACATTATATATACATATAAATAAAATTGAAGTGGCTGTAATATTGAAATAACTGACTTCTATTACGCTCAGGAGTTTATTTGCATGTTTTTAAGACATAAATATAATAAATAGATTTTTACAAAGCAACCCTGATGGCGATATAGTTTTTAACAAAGTATAATACATTCTGTGTACTAAATATCGGGAATTTGTCAATAAAACAAAAAATACAAATTATTCATCTAAATTTATTTTATCGCCTTCAAAGTAGGCCCCATCGCTTGCAATACAACATCTCCAACGCTTCACCCAGTCTTCCATACATTTTTCATAGGCTATTTGCGGTATGGCCTTTAGCTCATTCAGCGAATTTTTTTTTTATGGCTTCTATAGACTCAAAACGTTTTTCTCGAAGTGGTAATTTTAACTTGGGAAATAAAAAAAGTCAGACGGAGCCATATCAGTGCTTGATCGAGAACTTTTGTTGAATTTTTCGCTAAAAACTCTTTCACTATAATGGCTGTGTGTGATGGTGCAGCATCCATGAGTTGTGTTGCCACAAATCTGGACGTTTTCGGCGGATACTCTCACGCAAACGCTTCATGACGCCTAAATAATATTCTTTATTCACTGTTTCTCCCTTTGGAAGGAATTCGGAGTGAACCACACCACGGTAGTCAAAAAAAACTGTCAGCATCACCTTGATTTTGGAGCGACTTTGCCGCGGTTTTTTGGGTTTCGGCTCGTTTTCGAGACGCCATTCTGAAGATTGTTGGCTTGTTTGCATGTCGTACTCATAAACCCATGTCTCGTCGCCAGTTATTATACGTTTCATAAAGGTCGGATCCGTAGAAGCTCGGAAAACCATGTCTTAAGCGACATGCTTTCGCTGCGCTCTTTGAACAAAATTGAGCTCTTTTGGAACTAGTCGAGCGGCGACGCGTTTCATGCCTAAAATGTCAATGAGAATGTTGTGGACGGACTTAAAAGATATGTTCACCTCACTAGCCAACTCTCTCAGACTCATACGTCGATTTTCGAGCACTAGCTTCTTGATTTTGTCGATGTTTTCTTTGGTCGTAGCGGTTGAAGGTCTACCAGAACGAGGCAAGTCTACTACTACTTCTCGGCCTTCTTTAAAAGCCTTATACCATTCATAAGCCCTTGTTTTCGATATACACGATTCGCCGTAGGTATTTCGCAACATTTTTAGTGATTCACCACATGAAATATCATTCGAAACACAAAATTTAAGGCACACTCTTTGTTCAACAATATTTTCCATTGTAAAAATCGCCGAGAACTCAAAACTATGACCAACAAAAAGTGTAGTTTAAAACAAATTAAATGACAGATCCCGCTCAAACTTTGCGCGCTAAATCAGTACAGTGCTACCAACAAGCAGTTAAAAAATTAGAACGACCTCTTTTACGCGGGTCTTTTTATTGACATATTCCCGATACTTTTTACACAGAGTTGTAGATCGGGAGATGGTGACAGATAATAGTCTCCCATTTTCTCCTGCATGCTTTTTTAAGAATTGATAACTAACCCTAAAATATGAAAGATAGAGGGGTTACGAGCCTTTGCGCGCTTGCACGTCATAAAGAAAATGGCTTCTCTTTGTGTAAAGAATTTTAGTATTTTCCCGTGACATTATATTGCATGCCTTTGTAATATAACGTAGTTGGAACAAATTTAAGCCTTAATAATTGATGGCATGCAATTTGCAACGGCCGACGGTGCTCAAAGGGTTACGTAGAAATGAAAAAAAAAATAAGAACATTTCCGTGTTTACAAATTGCATGCCGTTTTTTTTATCTCAAAAATACTCTACGAAAATTGGCATGCACCCATCGTATGACCAAGGGTAGAAAATATTAGGAAAATGTTGTGAAAATTCAATACAAATTTTCCGTGATTTCAAACTACTTCTAAAAAAGATAAATATTAATTTTATGACCAAATACTTCTGAAATACAAATGGCATGCATGTTGCACATGATCATTATATTATAAATAATAACAAAAGTTTCAAAAAATTCATTTTTTTTCCGCGTTTTTTATTTGCATGCCGTTTTGTATTTCATAAAAACATATTATTTTAAGTATATACCGAAAATGGCATGCATATTAAATAACACGATCGTATTTTAAATAATGAAAATTGCATAAAATATATGAAACATTTCCGTGTTTTTTATTTGCATGCCGTTTTGTATTTCATAAAAACATACTATTTTAAGTATATACCGAAAATGGCATAAGTATTAAATAACACGATCGTATTTTAAATAATAATGAAAGTTTCATAAAATATATGAAACATTTCCGTGTTTTTAATTTGCATGCCGTTTTGCATTTCATAAAAACATATTATTTTAAGTATATATCAAAAATGGCATGCGTAATTAAATAACACCATCGTATTTTTAATAATAATGAAAGTTTCATAAAAAATTACAAGCATTTCAAAATCACCAAAAAAAAACAATTTTTTATTTTACGTGACTTTTTGACAATATACTATATAAAATATTTCAGTTATTTAATAAAGTAAACCCGAGTACTTAATAATAGAAACAATAACTTAGTTTGAAGAAATCCACATACCAATGTATTGGCAGCGGTTTTTTTGTTTATTTAAGTAATTTTTTATCAATAAACATGCATTGCATTTGTTATTGAAGTTTAAAATAATATTTACAGACAATGTACAAAAAGGCATGCAAAAAAAACATGGAAATGTTCCTTATTTTTATTTTCGTAAAAAAACTTTTTTTGATTTTAGTTTTGCACAATTTTTTTTTATGTCAGGCTTGTGTAATATGCATGCCATTTTTTTATCAACTTAAAATAATGTTTTTTAATGAAATATTGAATGGCATTCAAAATAAAGTCACGGAAATTATAACAGCGTTTTTTGCAATTTTCGTCATGCATGCCACTACTTTACAACTTCCTGTTGTGCATGCCAAATTTGGTAACGTCAATAAATTATAAAAATTAAGTATTGTTCAAATGGCATGCAGTTTGAAATCACGAAAAGTTGTATTGAATTTTCACAACATTTTCCTAATATTTTCCACCTTTAGTCATACGAGGGGTGCATGCCGATTTTCGTAGAGTATATTACAAAGGCATGCAATATAATGTCACGGAAAAATACTAAAATTTTTAAAATTCTTTACACAAAGAGAAGCCATTTTCTTTATGACGTGCAAGCGCGCAAGGGCTCGTAACCCCTCTCATCATCATTCCATCATTACAGCCTTCCATAAGTCCACTGCTGAACATAGGCCTCCCCAAGGAATGCCACAAAGCACGGTCCTGAGCCACCTGCATCCATCGACTTCCTGCATGTCTTACCAGGTCGTCACTCCATCTAGTGGGGGGACGCCCAACACTTCGCCTGCCACTCGAGAACCTTTCTTCCCCATCGGTTGTCGGTTCTTCGAGCTATATGACCGGCCCACTGCTACTTCAGCTTACTAATCCGTTGGGCCATGTCGGTTACTCTGTTTCTACTGCGGATATACTCATTTCTAAGTTTATCACGCAGAGAAACTCCGAGCATAGCCCTCTCCATAGCTCGCTGAGCGACCTTGAGCTTTCTCATACGGCCAGCAGTGAGGGACCACGTCTCAGTTCCGTAAGTCATCACTGGCAACACGCACTGGTTGTACGATTTCGTTTTAAGGTTTTGAGGTATGTCTGACGAGAAGATGTGTCGTAGCTTCCCGAACGCTGCCCAGCCGAGTTGAATGCGTCGATTGACCTCTCGGTCGAAGTTGGACTTACCTAGTCGGACTATTTGTCCCAGGTAAACATACTCGTCAACAACTTCGAGCTTAGTGCTCCCAACAACTACTGGCATAGGTGTGACATGGACATTAAACATAATCTTTGTTTTGTCCATGTTCATCTTAAGACCTATCCGTTGGGAGACACTATTGAGGTCATTGAGCATAGTGCTTAGGTCCTCCAGCGATTCTGCCATAAGGACTATATCGTCGGCAAATCGAAGGTGAGTGATGTACTCGCCATTGATGTTAATACCGTATCCTTTCCAGTCCAGAAGTTTGAAAACGTCTTCCAATGCAGCGGTGAAGAGTTTCGGGGATATAACAGCACCCTGTCTTACACCTCTCTGCAAATGGATAGGTTTCGTACTCTGGTTCTGTACTCGGATAGCCATCGTAGCTCTACTGTACAAACACTTCAGCACTTCGATATAACGACAGTCAACTTGGCACCGCTGAAGGGACTGCAGCACCGCCCAAATTTCGACGGAATCAAAGGCTTTCTCATAGTCCACATACGCCAGACATAGTGGCAAATTGTACTCTTCGGACTTCTGTACAATTTGCCGAAGGGTATGTATGTGGTCTATGGTGCTAAAGCCCTTTCGGAAACCGGCTTGTTCGGGAGGCTGGAAGTCGTCAAGTCTGCGCGCGAGACGATTCGTAATGACTCTCGAAAACAGCACGTAGCCGCGGCTCAGAAGGGAAATCGGTCTGTAGTTCTTCAAGAGAACGTTGTCACCTTTCTTGAAGAACAAGACCACCGCACATCTGCTCCACGCCTCCGGTGTAATGCCATCATGGAGGACGGAATTAAAGAGCTTCTGAAGGACTTCAAGTACCGGTCTTCCACCCGCTTTCAGAAGCTCCGCTGTAATTCCATCCTCGCCTGGGGCCTTGCCGTTTTTAAGGTGCTGGAGAGCCATTCTAATCTCGCTCAGACTGACGTCCGGGATATCTTCGGAATAGTGTCGGATGAGACTCGCTCTTGGATCGTTACTCACACTTGCGTGTGGCTCCAACGATGACGTGTACAGCTGCCCATAGAACCTCTCAATCTCACTCAAAATCTCAGGTGTCCCGGAAACGATGCTGCCACATTCGGTCTTCAGCTTTGACAGTTGGCTCTTTCTGGCACACAGATCTCTGGCAAAGACTTTGGAGCCTTGGTTCCGCTCGATCGCTTCTTCAATACAAGCTGTATTGAAGTTGCGTAAGTCCCGCATTTGGAGATCTGTGTGTTCAGTTGCCTGTATGCTGTCAAATCTGTTGAAGAATGTAGCTTCATCTCCCGTCTAACAGCCATGAGATTAAGAGTGTGATCGGAGAGTTTTTGTGTTCTTCTGCGGCGGGTCTTGCAGAACTTATATCCGACCGCATGGACAGTTTCCACGAGCTTGTCATTCATATCGTCCACTTCATTGCAGTCTTCTAGGCACTGAAAACGGTTTTGTAACTGGAGCTGAAAGGTTTCGGGACTTTGGAACAGAGCACGAGGGGGACGGAGCGTTGACTTCATTAGACGCGACCTCTCCAACTTAACGTTTAGGTTCAGTGTGCCTCTAACCATTCGGTGATCGCTACCAGTTTTCACCCTCGCGATCACGGAGACATCACTGAACAGTTGTCGTCTAGTCGTCTGGTCGTAACCCCTCTATCTTTCATATTTTAGGGTTAGTTATCAATTCTTAAAAAGGCATGCAGGAGAAAATGGCAGACTATTTTCTGTCACCATCTCCCGATCTATAAGTAATTAGGAATTGTGCTGTTTTCTTATCTAAATAGGTTAAATAAGTGATTTCATAAAATGTGATATCATGTTTAGTATAACATTTAACCGATTTGGTCTAGTACTGTAAGCTTATATTGCTGTGTTGAATAAATAAATAAATAAATATAACCCTTTTTTAATTTGTCTGTCTGTCCGGGCTAATCTTTGAAATGATTGAACCGATTGTGAGGAAACTTTACGAACAGATAGAAAGCAATGCCTGGAGAGATCTAAACTATAACATATCCGAAAAACTTGAAGATATTTTTTAAAACTAAAAATTGATAAAATAAATGATCTTTGAACTTAATCTAAATAAAGCCACATGAATAGACCCTATCCAGCTTATATAAATATCGAACTGATGAGAACAAGCCACTACCATCTTCCATGTTTTGAAAGATTAAATGTAACGCAATGATCTTACCGCGCTAATCTAAAACTTCTAGATATTTTCTAAATATTTTATTTCTCGCACACACGCTTATTGTATAATAGTGTACAGTTAGCGAGTGTGTTAGTCAACAACCTGTTCAATCCCCTTTGATGCTAGTGAAAGTGTTAACTGGAGTTTAATTGCTAATGAACCACCTGCGACATAATTATATTGTATAATTTCATCTCTTTTTTTTCTCTATTCTAGAAATGTTTCCATTCCGAAAATAAGCAAACATAAAACGGAGCCATCGTATGAAGTGGAAAGTGAAAACAAACAATTGAATACATTAAATTTGATTGGGAATAAAGAGAACGCGAAAAGTGTTATTACTTTATCTGATAGTGTTACGGATTTGTCTAAAAGAACTAAAGAAAACACTATCTTAGAAACGAACACAGACAGACAAACTCTCGGGACGCCATTGACAATAAACAAATTTGTGGACGAAGTAACGCATAAATCCACTCCAATGGTTCGAAAGTCGTTAAATTTTAATCGCGAAAACATCGAAGAGAATGATCCTGAACAAACCCTATGTCCAAGTTCAATCGCGCTGGCCAACACTACACAAGAGAAAGAATTCATGAATGAAATTTTTGAACAAAGTCCAAATTTACCAGTGTATAAAGCGTTGCCTGTATTGAGTCGCATAAATCGTCCCACAAAGTTTTGCATTGCTGGTTCATGTCTAACAGCCAACGAAGTAATAAAATTGAAGCTTCTTTGCAAAGAAAGAGGATGGAGCTATGTAGACAAATATACAAAGGAGTTAACCCATTTAGTTGTTGGTGTGGATGAAGAAAATAGATCACTAAGGTACATGTGTTTCACATCTTTACCAACCACTGTTGGGCTATTTCATTGTAAGGGCTGTAATCTCAACTGGAGGTGTATTGGCGATTGTCGAGGCGTTTGCACCTTTTTACAATATTCTTCGTTGTTGTTTTAGTTTAAAAATCAATAAATATGGTATTTTACATGGCATAATATGACGACGATGTTCTGCTGGCCGAATTCACCCACGGTCATTTTGCTGTCACTAGCTAATTTAGTATAATGGGGTATAATATTACATCCCGCGTATAGTCTATTCGCTAAGGTAGTGTCGGTACACCGGAGGCGCACTTATTATTTTGCTTTTATTATATAATTTTTTACCATTGATTTATATGTACTACGTACTAGAGAAGCCATTCCAAACAAAAATTGTGTCCTACTCTTTGTCTTCGCGCATGCGCGATAGTAGTAGTCGCGCATGAGCGAAGACTTTAATTTGATATGAAATAAGATATTAATATAAAATAAATATAAGAATTTAATATAAAATATCTTAATTTAATCTAAACAAACATATTTCTAAATAAAATGTAATAATAATTATTTTATGGAATTCACAAATCTTCAAATTACGCAATATTTAGTTTGTATGGACTGCACTACAGTTCAGTTGAACATAGTCAATGTTCGGAATGGCTTCTCTAGTACATAGTACATATAACTCAATGTTTTTTACTATATTTGTTAAATAAATGTTTTTCCATTCTAAGAATAAAATAGAATACTATTATATTCTTATCTCGTATTTTATTACAATAACCATTGTAATAAAACACTAATATAAATAATAAACACAAGTTTTTGCTACCTAAGCAATGAACCATTCACTACGACACTTCGTTTTAAAATGCTAAACTCTCCTGCCGCACGTGGCAACCTTTGATATGATGAACACAAAGGCGACCGTATCTAAGCGAACAGACTATACAGAAGCATTCACACAAACAGAAGCATACACCCAGGGGTGTCACTTCCACTATGGAAGGTATGGAGCACTCCATACCTCAAGTTTTTCAAGGTATGGAATTCCATAGCTGAAATTAGGAAATAAATCGCATATTACTACAAACCCCATATAAATAAATCGCAAGCCCTTAAACCTCAATACCCCACATCTTATAGTTCAATAAATAAGTTGAGTATATACACTGCAAACTCTTAAACCTTAATACCCCACGAGTAATGCGAACAAATTTGAAAATCGCGCCACCATTTTCCATACCTCAGATTTTTACAAAGTGACACGCCTGCATACACCTGTCTAATGTAATTCTTATGTAATAAGAACGGAGATTGGGATGTAAATGTAGTGTCATGTACAATCGACAATCACAACCCAAGTAAATCCGAAAACTGTAATTTGTTACTTTACATAAATGTTGGTAAAATTCAAATTACAATGCAAATAGAATACAATAGATGTTAAATATCAAAACTGGTTCTCAACTGGGTATCATACTGTGATCATCAATCCGCCTTTATTTTTAATTTTCACTGCACCGGGATGATTTCTATTGGTTGTCAAACCTGTGAGTAACTTTTAGCATATTGATAAGTTAGTTTAGCAAGATTGTGTATCCCCAAAAACTTACGGTAGCTATGGTTACACCAGCACCACCCATAATACAGATCATACAGAGATAAAGCGTCCGTCAGCATAAATACTTAAACGCTGAGTACGTAGTAATTTTAACGCGGTAGAGCCACGCTGCTTCTATATTATGGTTGTAGCACGAATGGGTCGGCTCGACCGGGGTAGGACCACGCTCTCACAGAATATCAGCGTAAAATAGCAGCTTCACACTGCTGTGTTTCGTATGGTGAGTATAGAGCACCGGTTTACTGGAAAAGAAGATTTCATCTTAGTACCTCACGGGTGACAACGCATTTTGATTCTTATTCGAAGATAAATGTAGATGTCTATGGGCCACAGCATCCACTTACCATCAGGTGGACTGTGTGCTCGTTTGTCACCCTTATTCTATAAAAAAAATTATGTATACTAGGCATAGAAATAAGGATTGTAAAAAGGAGGTAGCTCCCACAACTTGACTCGCTGTCTCTCATTTTTGAGGATTAGCTTACATACATCATTTTGATGTCGAGGTCATAGTCAAATGTAAAATACATAAGGTTTATTACACATCATTATAGACGGAAGTTAATATTGTTAATAATTATTTTATTTCTTTTACATTTTTCGAAACAATAGCAACTATATATATATATTTTAATTCGGCAGTAATATCAGTATGTGATATTATTATGGTATTTCTTTTTTATATTTACAGATCTGTAAAATATATGTGCGCTCTGGCAGCAGGAAAATGGATAATTAGTTATGCATGGGTAGAAAAATGCATCCAAACGAAAACCATAGTATCGGAGGTCAGTATTTATGTATTATAGATAGCTATCCTCACTTGAGTATCTACTATCATTATAGACAATCATTGTCGTTGGCTTGAGATGCAAACTTACAACCTATACTCGTATTTATTTTTATATTTAACTTGTCCTTTAAGCCATGTCTTCATTTCTTTCGGGATCTTCGTTTTTATATATTTTCCTTTATAGTAAACTGCTTTCCAATATGTTGATGCGTCATATTGCGCAGCGCAGTAAGATTTTGACGGCAACTGGAGCCAGCAGACAGTTGGCGATAGTACCTCAAGATGCCTAAGCAGACAGGCACCTTATCTTGAGATTCACATCACCATCGGAGCATTTGTTCCCATTAATAGTACATATGCGTAGACATAATTTTTATAAATTATATAATATAATTTAATAATATAAAAAATTTAATAATATAATTTTTATAAAGATTTAATACACAAAATTGCACCTTTTTTACATATCAAAATCCACTTCAAACCAATTATTTAAACAATGATATAGGAGCAACAATCCGCCGCCGCCGGTCAGTGTACTGCCAAAACAAAGAAAATGATACAATACCATCGATCACTAATAAAAAACTAGACAGACAATCAGTGACAAAAAATGTCCTTACCGAATGAGCGCCCACTCGAACATTTGGGTGCGCTTTTAATTTGTGCGTAGCTTTGAGAATACAACTTTAGGCAATGCGTTTAAGGTTGAATTTACATTAATGTATATTTATTTCATCTAGAATTACGGCAAAACAATTGGCGACAGTTTTTAGAGAACTTTTGCATGGGATTATATATCTAGTTTTTTTTAGTGATCGATGTACAAATACAGATTTTTTTTTTATAGGAGAGGGGGCAAACGAGCATGCGGCTCACCTGATGGTAAGTGACTACCGCCGCCCATGAACAACTGCAACACCAGGGGAACCGCAGATGCGTTGCCGCCCTTTTAAAAAGGAGTACGCTCTTTTCTTGAAGGTCCCTAAGTCGTATCGGTCCGGAAAAATCGCTGATGGTAATCGATTCCACAAGGAGGTCGTGCGAGGAAGAAAACACCTTCTAAATCGCACAGTGGTGGACCGCCAATCATCCAGATGGTGTGGATGGTATCGGGAGTTCTGCCGCGATGTGCGTTCGTGAAATTTGGCGGCTGGGATTAATCCGAACAATTCCTCAGAGCACTCCCCATGGTAGATGCGAAAGAAAATGCAAAGGGATGCAACATCTCTTCGCAGTGCCAATGAATCGAGCCGATCGGAAAGGGCTCGGTCGTCGACGATATTTATACATCATAAATAAACCTACTATGTGTTATTAATATATGAAAATAATTTTCCCTTTTTAAATAATATAAAAACCTGAAAACAAAAAACTAAAACAGCTGTTACACTGGATTCAAATGTAATGAATACTGACTGATAGATTTCTTTAACTTAAGAAAATATCAGAAATAATCAAAACAGTGGGATGCTATTTAACATGTTTTACGCACTAAAAATGTTTTTTATAAATTCTACGTTTAATTATTTTTTACGATGTAATTTATGTTACTGGCTCAATCGCTTTCATTCAGAAAATTTTAACTTTACAAATGAACCTCGTAGCCGCCTGAAGTAGGTTTATAATGAAGAAGAAATAAGTAGCAGCGGAATTGTCTAAGCTACCGTCTGCTTTTGATCGAAGTGTTAAAACAGTAACATTTTGCGGATAAAAACCAACTAATATAAAATTAAGAAACTTGGCAAATTCACCTGATGGTAAGTCACTAACGCCGCTCATGAACAACTGCAACACCAGGGGAATTGCAGAGGCGATGCCGGCCTTTTAAAAAGGAGTAGACTCTTTTCTTGAAGGTCCCTAAGTCGTATCGGTCCGGAAAAATCGCTAGTGGTAATCGATTCCACAAGGAAGTTGTGCGAGGGAGTAAACTTCTTCTAAATCGCACAGTGGTGGGCCGCCAATCATCCAGATGGTATGGATGGTATCGCGAGTTTTGTCGCGATGTGCGATGGTGAAATTGAGCGGCTGGAATTAGTCCGAACAATTCCTCAGAACACTCCCCGTGGTAAATGCGATAAAATACGCAAAGAGATGCAACATCTCCACGCAGTGCCAGTGAGTCAAGCCGATCGGAAAGAACTCGGTTGTCGACGGTTCAAGCCGCTCTGCGCTGCATGCGGTCAAGTGGAAGGAGCTGGCACTGGGGAGCCCCTGTCCAGAGATGGGAACAGTATTCCATGTGACGCCGAACGTGCGCCTTGTAAAGTTGCAGGCGGTGTGCCGGCATGAAATACTGTCCCGCTCTGCTGAGCACGCCAAGCGTTTTAGAGGCCAATTTGGCCTTCTCTTCCAAGTGACCACGAAACTGCACGTCACTCGATATGTCCCGGGATTCCGATACTGGCTGAGGCAACAAGGGGAGTGCCTTGAAACTGAGGGGATACGACAAGGGGGTTCTTTTTAGAGATAAACGCGCAAACTTGTGCCTTCTGGGGAATGAACTGGACTAGATTTAGTCGCCCCCAGTCTGAGACTTTGTTCAACAAAGTATTGACTACAGACACAAGTTTGTTCCGGTACTCGGCGACGTTTTGCCGAGAAATATTTGCACGGCCGGTGTATAAAGTATCACCAGTGCTGTCGTCTGCATAGCAATGAATGTTACTGGTTTGCAACATATAATTTTTATGCAGAAGAAACAGCGTTGGTAATAGCACGCAGCCTTGTAGTACACCAGCGTAAATGGGCTTGTAATCGGAGCGTACACCGTCTACTAAGACCTTAATGATCCAATTGCACAATTTGTCGGGAAGCCCATAGGAAGGGAGCTTCGGAAGAAACGCTTTGTGCCAAACCCGATCGAAAGCCTTGGCACTGTCCAAAGTACCGGCTAACGCCTTCCCCTTGGACACGACTGCCTCCGCCCATCTATGAGTTAGGTAACCTAGAAGATGAATAGCTGAGCGACCTCGACGGAAACCGTACTGGCGATCACTAATCAGCTAGTGATCTTCAAGGTACCGCATGAGCTGGCAGTTTATAATGGATGCCATTATTTTGGGGAAAAGAGTTGATGGCGATATTCCTGTAGTTGGACGGATCTGAGCGGTCGCCTTTTTTAGAGATCGGGTGTACCAAAGGTGTCTTCCATGAGTTCGGGACTACGCCTAGGGAGTAGGAGTACCGGAAAAGACGCGTTAAAATCGGTGCCAACTCCGGAGCACACGTCTTCAGCACTGAGTGGGACTCCATCAGGCCCACTCGACTTGTTGACGTCCATGGAGAGGAGTGCTTTACGAACCGAGCGCTGTGTAAACAGCACTTCCTGCATGGAGCACTCACACCGTGGTATGGTCGGCGGTGTGTTCCTCCCGTCATCTAGAGTCGAGTTGGAAGCAAAAAGAGAGCCTAGCAGATCGGATTTTTCCTGTGCGTCATGGGCAAGTGAGTCGTCCACCCTGTGCAGGGATGGCAGAGATGACTGACAGAAGTTCCCTTCGACAGCCTTGGCGATAAAGCAGAATGCACGTGTTCCCGAAGAGAGGCGAACTAGTTTCTCGCCAATTCTGCCAATGTGCTCTGACTTAACCTTGGCAATGACACTTTTGAAGGACCTGGATGCGGAATTATGCTTCTTTTTAAGAGCGCTGTGACTGACGCACAGCGAGAGGCCCGTGTCTAAGCTTACATCACATTACTAAATCGGCATGGAAAGTAGGGAATTTTGAATCGAATGCGATGAGAAATGGATCTTGTACGACAATCTCTAACGTTCATTACAATAGTTATATCCAGGTGACCAAGCCAAACAGTGCCCGACACTGTATATGCTTTTCACTATAACTTCCTGCCATCTAGTGCTACAGTTAGTGCTGACGGTTATTGCAAAGAATTGCAAATGACCATGTTCTCCACACTCGAACAACCTAGATTGATGAACTGCTCTTCGCCATTGCTTCTTCATGATAACATCCAGCCACTTACCTTATCCACCTTATTCTTCAGACCTTGTCTCAAGAGACTTCCACTTTTTTCGAAGCTTGCATAACTTTTTGATAGAGAATAATTTGAAATTCCCAAGAAGCAGTAATGAACACCTTTAAATGTATAGATTTCTCGTGCAGTAGACTTCTTCTATTGCAAGGGCAATATTAACAAACTGCCCCTGAAATCGCAATGTGTTAATTAATAGTTTTGATGGTGTAGTGTCGGTGTAAGAATATCCACTACCTACCCCATATCGTCCCGGAGTTATCGTAAGAGGCGGCATAGGGAAACGAACCAGGAGATGAGCAACAGTGTCTTCCAAATAACAACTAAAAATAAAAATAAAATTGCAATTGCCATGTCGCCTGCCTATAACTATGGCAGATATCCCTCTATTTCAGGGGCCTATGTTCAGCAGTAGACTTTTGATAGGACTGTAAACGTTATGGTGTTAATGGTTTAGAAAGTGTGTTATATATTAAAGATTTTGCTTGTAAAAAATATTTAAAATTTTCCGTACAAATCGGTAATTTCATAGAGAAAGACCTATTAATATAATTTTCTGACAGGAGCTGTACGAAACGTTAGACAGCACAGGGGAGCCGGGGCCGCGACGTTCGCGCCTCGCCAAACATAAGCTGTTCCAGGGCATCACCTTTTACTGCATGGAGCCGTTTAGTGTGCTAGATGTCGGCACTTTAAAGGTATGCAAATCACTTTTTTACAACTAAGCAAGGAAAAACACCTAAACACTAAATTTCTGGGTTTCGACAACTCTGGACCTCTTCCATATTAGGGATTAATAGGCCATCACGGCATAACTTGGGTGGGATCTATTAATGTGGCATTATTTTTTTTTTTTGAAATTGTCATTTATAAACTATTTACTTTATAAATTATTCCATTTTACAAAAAAATTCTCAGAGATATTCGGATTAAAATATATAGCTAAGAATCTATCCAGGCATTGCTCTCTGTTGTAAAGTTTCGTCACAATCAGTTCAGCCATTCCGAAGGTTAGCTGGACAGACAGACAGAGAGATAGCTAGATATAAAATATGCTTTGCTTGCGTCCGATAAAATGGTTTATTCCACTTTTTCCCACCAAATGTTTCACTGGAGGGACAAAGTGAATTCTTTAAAATGTGTTCCTCCACTTTTCCTCACTAATTGTTTTTTGACAGGACAAAATACACTGTTATAATAAACCTCGTCCACTTTTCCCCACTAGGGCTATCATAAGCAAATTTTAAGATCTTGAAGTGTTTTTCAAACAAATGATAAAAATTAAATAATTGTAATCAATATAAGTCATAGATTTACAAATTGTTCATAACATAATATTTTTTAACATAATAGATTTTCTTACATAATATCTGAAATCACAGATGTTTCATAATATAACAAAAGAGAGATATACAACGCTATACATGCCAAAAATATAAATGAAGAAATATTTTAGTCTGACCAAGTTAGATAAAAAAAAATAGGGTTAAGGTTATAATAATTCATAGAGAGCTAAAAATTGGTACGAATGTAACACCATCACAAATGAAATGTGAAAAGTCTCCATCGATCTCACATCTGGAAAAAAATATTCAAGTTCAAAATTGTGTTTTTCATAATACGCATGTCAATTGCCTTTATATACATCACTAAGCCGTAATACAAGTAAAAATAAATATTTCATCAAAATCAATCGGAAATGTATTCATTAAAAATTTGCTCGCTGCGGAGGGATAAAACAACAGTTTTGAGATTGTTTCATAAACAAGATTTAGTTAATTATGCTGCAAGTTTTAAAGAGAGTAACCCTACGCTACAATCTGTAATCACCAACGGAATTCGCATTCTTCTTCCTGTATACGGAGCTCCAAAAAAGTTTAAAAAATGAATTATAAGCAATATGTAAATTTATGACATATTGATTACAATTATTTCATTTTGATGATTTTTTTTTCTTGTTTGAAAAACACTTCAAGGTCATAAAATTTGCTTATGCCATCCCTAGTGGGGAAAAGTGGACGAGGTTTATAATAATAGTGTAATTTGTCCCTCCAAGAAACGATTAGTGGGGAAAAGTAGAGGAGCACATTATTTTGAAGGGTCCACTTTGTCCCACCAGTGGAACATTTGGTGGGAAAAAGTGGAATAAACCGATGATAAAATGCAGTTATTTCGATTTTACAGTCAGACTTCAATTGGATTTATATGTGAATAGATAATGGACCCCAAAAGTAGGTAGGTAGGTAGTAGGGATGTTTGCCATTTTAGTTCAGTGATTGTATCACTTATGATCATGTGGTGCCGGGTTCGAATTCCGGTTCGGACCATATTCAGTTATTGAGTTATTCGGAAATTGAGTCTGCCAAAAAATACGTTATTATTACGAGTCGAATATGAGAAATGCCAAGAAGAAAAACAATAAAAAGATGAAATTATTTGACCGATTTAATTTAATTCGAGTGGAGGTCAAAAACTTCGTGTGGAATGTATTTAATAAAGTAATTAAAACAACCAAATGGTTTTTCTTTTTTAAATATAATCTTTAAGCACATTTTCGCTTTGTAAAATTACCTTTTTTATGCAGTGAGAAATATTTATTTTAACTTTTACTTCCACAATATTATGTTATAGTTGTTATATGTTATATAATATATAACACAATATTATGTTGTTATATAATATATATATAATAGTATGATTCTTTTTTTTCTTAAAATACCAACCTTACCCACAAAACCTCAGTTTTTTTGTGCAAATAGTAATTTTATTGTCCTAAAATGTTACGGACTAGCCATCATATTGTAAAACTTACTTGTATTTTTTTTTTATAGGAGAGGGGCCAAACGAGCATGTGGCTCACCTGATGGTAAGTGACTACCGCCGCCCATGAACAACTGCAACACCAAGGAGGGAATTGCAGATGCGTTGCTGGCCTTTTAAAAAGGAGTACGCTCTTTTCTTGAAGGTCCCTAAGTCGTATCGGTCCGGAAAAATCGCTGATGGTAATCGATTCCACAAGGAAGTCGTGCGAGGAAGAAAACATCTTCTAAATCGCACAGTGGTGGACCGCCAATCATCCAGATGGTGTGGATGGTATCGGGAGTTCTGCCGCGATGTGCGTTCGTAAAATTTGGCGGCTGATATTAATCTCAACAATTTCTCAGAGCACTCCCCATGGTAGATGCGAAAGAAAATGCAAAGGGATGCAACATCTCTTCGCAGTGCCTATGAATCAAGCCGATCGGAAAGGGCTCGGTCGTCGACAATTCGAGCCGCTCTGCGCTGGATGCGGTCAAGTGGAAGGAGCTGGCACTGGGGAGCCCCTGCCCAGAGATGGGAACAGTATTCCATGTGAGGCCGAACCTGCGCCTCGTAAAGTTGCAGGCGGTGTGCCGGCATGAAATACTGTCCCGCTCTGCTGAGCACGCCAAGCTTTTTAGAGGCCAATTTGGCCTTCTCTTCCAAGTGACCACGAAACTGCACGTCACTCGATCTCGTCGACTCCGCGGATACCGATACTGGCTGAGGCAAGAAGGGGAGTGCCTTGAAACTGAGGAGATACGACAAAGGGGTTCTTTTTAGCGATAAACGCGCAAACTCGTGTCTTCTGAGGATTAAACTGGACTAGATTTAGTCGCCCCCAATCCGAGACTTTGTTCAGCAAAGACTCGACTTCAGACACAAGTTTGTTCCGGTACTCGGCGACGTTTTCCCGAGAAATATTGGCACGGCCGGTGTATAGAGCATCACCAGTGCTGTCATCCGCATAGCAATGAATGTTACCAGTTAGCAACATATCATTGATATGCAGAAGAAACAGCGTTGGTAATAGCACACAGCCTTGTGGAACACCAGCGTTAATAGGCTTGTAGTCAGAACATGCACCGTCTACAACGACCTTGATGCTCCGATCTGCAAGAAAGCTGGTGATCCAATTGCACAATTTCTCGGGAAGCCCATAGGAAGGGAGCTTCGAAAGAAGCGCTTTGTGCCTAACCCGATCGAAGGCCTTCGCAATGTCCAGACTAACGGACAACGCCTCCCCCTTGGACTCTACTGCCTCCGCCCATCTATGGGTCAAGTAGACCAGAAGATCACCAGCAGATCGACCCCGACGAAAACCGTATTGGCGGTCATTAATCAGCTGGTGATCCTCAAGGTACCGGATGAGCTGGCAGTTAATAATGGATTCCATTATTTTGGAGAACAAGGAGGTGATCGCGATAGGCCTATAGTTGGACGGGTCTGAGCGGTCGCCTTTTTTAGGGATCGGGTGGACAAAAGCTGTCTTCCATACATTCGGGACTACGCCCTGGGAGTAGGAGTACCGGAAAAGACGCGTTAGGACCGGTGCCAACTCCGGAGCACACGTCCTCAGCACAATTGGGGGGATTCCGTCAGGCCCACGCGACTTCTGGATGTCCAGGGAGAGAAGTGCTTTGCGAACCGAGCGCTGTGAGAACAGCACATCTGGCATGGAGCACTCACACCGCGGGATTTTCCCCCGTCATCAAGAGTCGAGTTGGACGCAAAAAGGGAGCCTAAAAGGTCAGCTTTGTCTTTTGCGTCTTGGGCCAGTGAGTCGTCCTCCCTGTGCAGAGATGGTAGTGTGGGTTACAGAAATTCCCTTGGACAACCTTGTGAAAAATTTGTATAGTAGAACAGAAGTTTCTGCTATAGGTGAAAAACTGTCCAAAATTAAAAACGTAATAATTATTTAAATATTTTTTTAAATATACCACCTTTTTAAAACTGACTAAAAAGTATAAAGCAATTTCTTTTAGTCCGTACAGATGTAAAACCCCGTACAGATAATTTATTGAAAAACGTGGTGCGCATAAAATAGATAATTGATGCATTAATAGTTCACTTAGGTTACTAACTATTTAATTGCACTACAAAGTAATAATATTAACTGTTGTGTGTTTACTTTGCGATAGCTGCTCCCTATTTCTACACTACTTTCTAAGCTTCTAACTATTATCTATAGCGAGCGCCTCACATTTTTACAACATTGTTACAAGAAATTATTTTATACTTTATTTTATACCTAGTTCAAAAAGGAGGAGGTACTCAATTCGACTGTCGCCTTTTTTATGTGTTACTTCATAAGTTTTTTCTGGGTGAACCGATTTCGATAATTCTGTTTTTATTTGAAAGCTGGTGCTTTTCATGTGGTCCCATATAAATTTCATCAAGGTCTGACCAATACTTTTTGAGTTATTCTTAATACTTAATTTATATTGAAGTCGGTTGTATAAAATTTTAAAATTTTAATTATATTATTAACTCATTGGAAAATATCTTGAAATCGATTGTAAAATTTGTACCGATCAAATAAACAGACGAGTAAGTGAGTTGACATTGCTTATTTTCTCGTTCATCATTCAGGTCTGAGCTATATTTAAAGGGTAAAGTCTAGCTCATTGGTCATCAAGATATTTTCAAATTAATTGCAAAATTTGTACCGAACAGACATACAGATAAAGAAAGCAAATTAATAAAAACGTATTAAAAGGACATGATGTCTTTACACAAATGATGTTTTGTTTCTTATAATAAGACCTAAAATATCATAATGTGGGGAAAATTTTATGATTTCTTATGTTTACACGAACCCTACACATTTAAAATAAAATAAAGGCAGAATGAGCGTATAGAATCTTGTAGTTGACAGCTTAGCCATCTTCTCTATTAAAATTAGGATTTTTTTTCAATAGCCTCGCCAATCATCCTTGGAAGGGATCGGTGTTCTTTGATAAAACCTAGTTACATTTAAATGTGGGGAAAATTTGTTTGCTTTAGATATATATTATAGTTTGCATGCATTATTAAGAGTCGATTATTTCAATGTTATACCTATATTGTTGTACTTATATACTACATTTAATTGTTAGTAAACATAATTCATTACTTTTTTAAAGATAGCTGAGAGCTGGAATATTTTTTCCTTATTTCTTGAATCCCAGATAATCCAACCTAATTTTACGCGATGAGTTGCTATTATTAGGCAATAAATAAACATGCATAGTTGTTATGAATGTTTGTTGTGAACTTTGACACGGCGCATGCAGTCGCCGTGATCACGCAGATTTCATGCGTCATGCTAACTATTTGACCACATTGACATTATTTTGTACAGTAATACTTGATCTTTGACATTGAGTAATTAAATTTTATTTTGAATATCGATAAAACAAAGTAAGATGAGACGTGTCCTTTATGTGTGGAATGTTCATAATATTTTTAAGTATAAATTTAAAGAAAGCCCCTATAAAAATATTTAGCTTGTATATCAAGTAAATGCATCACTACTTTATTATTTTATGTTAAGTAAATCTTTAACATTATATCCTTATACAATATATTACACGGGAGGTCACGTTGCCGTAGTTTCTTTACAAGCCTTTTGTACATTTTTTTTTTAAATAAAAAGTACGGTTACGGCAGCATCTTTCCAATATTATTGGAAATTGTCAATCATTTGAACGCTACATCGTAGTGTATATTCGCAAGTGTTTACCATTAAAAGTTAAGTAGCAGCCTACATACGTTTCATAGCTACGGAGCACAGGCATAAGGCCTTCTGTAATTTCTGACAGGGTTTTAGGACAAGGAATAGTCATACGCGTTGCCCGCGTTGCTGGAAAAAACGTCGGGAATATAAAAATAAGTTAATATACGCGATAAAATCCGTAAATTTTTATTTAAATTATTTGTGTTTTTTTTATAACCAGATACTGCCGTGGGGTTTGCCGTGAAGTGGCGGTTAAGAATATCCACTACCCCATATCTTCCCGTGTGTGTCGTAATCGTAAAAGGCGACAAAGGGAAACAGGCAGGAGATGGGCAGCAGCATCTTCCTGATAACAACAAACTTACAATAAAAAAGCTGCGGTTGCCAACCCGCTGGCTAAGCGAGGCAACTATGGCAATATACCCCACATGAGCTTTGACATTAATAAACGGCCCCCAGTCCCCGGCGGCCCCGCTATTCCTGGTTACGGTGGCGACCATGGTAACGGCGGGGCAGGGGGTGCTAAGAATCTCCGGTGGAGGTTTGGTTGCCACCTAAGACGACTCTACCTGGCAATATACAACGCACGCACCCTGCGGACTGACGAGAAGATCGTGGAGCTGGAAGAAGAGATAGACAAGTTACGCTGGCATATATAGGATTATCCGAAGTCCGAAGAGAGGGGGAGGACACGGTAATCCTCGAATCGGGCAACTTGCTCTATCACCGGGAGGGCGACCATCTGTCCCAAGGAGGTGTCGGATTTATCGTCCACAAGTTTCTCGTTAACAACTTTGTAAAGATTAAGAGTGTGTCGACGAGGGTTGCGTACCTTATACTCAGAATCACCAAACGGTATTCGCTGAAGGTCATTCAGGTTTACGCACCAACCTCGGCACACCCCGATGAGGAGGTGGAGGAAATGTATGTGGATATCTCTATAGCCATGCATTCCTCCAAAACCCAATATACGGTGTGGGATGATAATGGGAGACTTCAATGCAAAACTAGGCACAAGAGAGAATGGTGAGCTGAAAGTAGGGAAATTTGGAATAGGGCAACGGAACCCAAGGGGCCAGCAGCTGGCCGACTTCATGAAGAAAAAGGGACTCTTTATGATGAAATCTTTCTTCCAGAAGCGGCCCCACAGGAAGTGGACCTAGTCGAGCCCCGACGGTTCCACAAAAAATGAGATTGACTTCATTATGACGACCAGACGACAACTGTTCAGTGATGTCTCCGTGGTCACGAGGGCGAAAACTGGTAGCGATCACCGAATGGTTAGAGGCACACTGAACCTAAACGTCAAGTTGGAGAGGTCTTGTCTAATGAAGTCAGCGCTCCGTCCGCCTAGGGCTCTGTTCCAAAGTCCCGAAACCTTTCAGCTCGAGTTACAAAACCGTTTTCATTGCCTAGAAGACTGCAATGAAGTGGACGATATGAATGACAGGCTCGTGGAAACTGTCCATGCGGTCGAAGCTAAGTTCTGCAAGACCCGCCGCAGAAGAACACAAAAACTCTCCGATCACACTCTCAATCTCATGGCTGTTAGACGGGAGATGAAGCTACATTCTTCAACAGATTTGACAGCATACAGGCAACTGAACAGACAGATCTCCAAATGCATGCGGCGGGACTTACGCAACTTCAATAAAGCTTGTATTGAAGAAGCGATCGAGAGAAACCAAGGCTCCAAAATCTTTGCCAGAAATCTGTCTGTCAGAAAGAGCCAACTGTCAAAGCTGAAGACCGAGTGTGGCAGCATCGTTTCCGGGGCACCTGAGATTTTGAGTGAGATTGAGAGGTTCTATGGGCAGCTGTACACGTCATCGTTGAAGCCTCACGCAAGTGTGAGTAACGATCCAAGAGCGAGTCTTATCCGACACTATTCCGAAGATATCCCGGACGTCAGTCTGAGCGAGATTAGAATGGCTCTCCAACACCTTAAAAACGGCAAGGCCCCAGGCGAGGATAGAATTACAGCGGAGCTTCTGAAAGTGGGTGGAAGACCGGTACTTGAAGTCCTTCAGAAGCTCTTTAATTCCGTCCTCGATGGTGGCATTACACCGGAGGCGTGGAGCAGAAGTGCGGTGGTCTTGTTCTTCAAGAAAGGTGACAACGCTCTCTTGAAGAACTACAGACCGATTTTCCTTCTGAGCCTCTTCTACGTACTGTTTTCGAGAGTCATTACGAATCGTCTCGCGCGCAAATACGACTTCCAGCCTCCCGAACAAGCCGGTTTCCGAAAGGGCTTTAGCACCATAGACCACATACATACCCTTCTGGAAATTTTCACAGAACAACAACAGAAGTCCGAAGAGTACAATTTGCCACTATGTCTGGCGTATGTGGACTATGAGAAAGCCTTTGATTCCGTCGAAATTTGGGCTGCAGTCCCTTCAGCGGTGCCAAGTAGACTGTCGGTATATCGAAGTGCTGAAGTGTTTGTACAGTAGAGCTACGATGGCTATCCGAGTACAGAACCAGAGTACGAAACCTATCCAATTGCAGAGAGGTGTAAGACAGGGTGATGTTATATCCCCGAAACTCTTCACCGCTGCATTGGAAGACGTTTTCAAGCTTCTGGACTGGAAAAGATACGGTATTAACATCAATGGCGAGTACATCACTCACCTTCGATTTGCCGACGATATAGTCCGTATGGCAGAATCCCTGGAGGACCTAAGCACCATGCTCAATGACCTCAATAGTGTCTCCCAACGAATAGGTCTTAGGATGAACATGGACAAAACAAAGATCATGTTTAATGTCCATGTCACACCTATGCCGGTAGTTGTTTGAAGCACTAAGCTCGAAGTTGTTGACGAGTATGTTTACCTGGGACAAATAGTCCGACTCGGTAAGTCCAACTTCGACCGAGAGGTGAATTGACGGATTCAACTCGGCTGGGCAGCGTTCGGGAAACTACGACAGATCTTCTCGTTCAAAACCTTAAAACGAAATTGTACAACCAGTGCGTGTTACCAGTGATGACTTACGGATCTGAGACGTTATCCTTTACTGCTGGCCGTATGAGGAAGCTCAAGGTCGCTCAGTGAGCTATTGGGAGGGCTATGCTCGGGGTTTCTCTGCGTGATAAACTTAGAAATGAGTATATCCGCAGTAGAACCAGAGTAACCGACATAGCCCAACGGATTAGTAAGCTGAAGTGGCAGTGGGCCGGCCATATAGCTCGAAAAACCGACAACCGATGGGGAAGAAAGGTTCTTGAGTGGCAGCCTCGTACTCGTGGAGATGGAGTGACGACCTGGTAAGACATGCAGGAAGTCGATGGATGCAGGTGGCTCAGGACCGTGCTTTGTGGCATTCCTTGGGGGAGGCCTATGTTCAGCAGTGGACTTATGAAAGGCTGTAATGATGATGATGACTGCCGTGGGGTTCTTGTTTAGTAACTTTTACAAATAATCTAGTAGCGGTGTGAATTTAAATCTCGTCGGCCCTGAAGTTTGTATTAAAAATACAAGATATTTGGTTTGGGTTGTGTTGGGTTTCTCCCCGTATGTATAACTCGCATTGTACACTACATATCGTAATAGATTTTTTGACCTTTTGCATACACTTGTGACACTAAAAAATCTGATGCGTGATTGATAATTTCCGAAATTGTCACTGCTGTCTAATAAACCGAGAAGAATCACATCTCAATTATCATTAAGTTACTAAAAGGAATTAATACTTCTACAACACCGAAAGTTACAACTTCTGAATATTTTTTATTCATAAATTTTGCATTTTGTATTCATAATTTACATTAATTTATGTTATTATATATGTACATTTGCTATAGGAAATTCTGGAATCGGCGGGTGGTCGTGTGGTGGAAGAAGCTAGGGAAGTGCGAGTCGTTAATGAGAAGCCAGGTTTGTTGCTGGCCGAGCCCGAGCATACGCAGGAGGATCGATTCATGTGTGAGTCATTCAAATTGCCTTTTAGTTTTTATTTTTATTTGTTTTCTTAGCAAAGCAACGTAGTTTTCCAGAAAAGCCGAAGAGTTTAAAAATGATTAGAAGTGCTTCTAAAACACGATCACCATTAAATTTATCATGTACCATAAATTTATAACTAATGGATAGAATATTTCGTTTCGATTCGTATTCTTCGTCCTCGTGGATTTTATTACGATTGGATGTCATAAGCTTTAATTTTTTTTTTGCGCGCGGAACTATCATTCTCTTTTAAAAATAAAAGTAGCCTAAGTTACTCCTTATAATATTAACTTATAATATTATCTGCCAGTGAGTCCCGTCAAAATCGAAACAAACAGGCAGATAGATAGACGGACAAAAATTTCAAAAAAAATTGTTTTTGTTATAAGTACCGTATATATTTTAAGAAGTTGAGTAAAAAGCTGTTATTTTGATATTGACACTTCAATTTTATTTATTGCATGCCTTAAGCGCAAAGCGCGTAGGTATGTTCTACTAGCGCCTAAAAATCAAGATTTCAACGTTTTGTCGCATAAAATGGTATCTAACAACCATATTGAACATAGAAATGATATAAAAAGCACATTGTCAGAAAGATAAATGATTGTTAAACTTATTAATATTTTATTAAATCGATTAACTGCTATTTTTACATAAAAAGTGGTTTTAGTGGCTTATGGTGTAGATTTATTAAGTCTACATGGAGTGGTAAACGCGATAACTTTTGAAAATATTAATTGTTTAACTCAATCTATTTTTAAAACTCTTCATCTATTATGTGGAAAGCCATGGAATGTAAATGACAGTTTAATTTTGTTTTGTTTAGTTATAATAAATTTTTTCGGCTGCAAAATGTCGAAATTTTCGGTGGTTTAGCAGCCTTGTATGTAATTCATTTTACTAAATAGACTGCTTCACTCAGTCCGGCGTCAACCGCCGTCGTGAGTGTATTACTGTATCGGTTGTTTGCTCAAAAAGACGCAGTTGCAGTGTTCCCACTAGAGTAACACTATCCCACTGCTCTTGGACACTGGCATTCATCTATTTGTGGGAGTGCTTTTTCCATTTATTTTATATCGTAACGTTAGTAGTTAAAAAATGTGGCATGCTTGCAGAGTTTATTGTCGTATAACGTTCAATTGTATTATAGTCTACAGGCCCCAATTTGCGCGCAGTGTCTGGGGGACTGAGCTTCGCCCGGAACTGCTTGAATTTATTCAATGAGTTTATTTAATGGCGTTGTTATTAATACCTAATAGGTTCCATACATTAGTTGACAGGGCCTGATTTTGAAAATTAAAAAAATATTGACCTTGGCCTGACCACAAATGTTAACATTTCATTACTAAAATTATTTTTTAAAAATTGATAACCAAAATTATTTGGCCCCCATTAACTGGGAAAATCATGCTATTTATTCATTATATAATTTTTAATTTAGTTAGGTTTTAATAGTTTTGACTTATTTATTCAAAAACTTTTGAAATTCATTTTGGGCCGTTGAATAAAACTATTTTTACGTATTTTATCGCGTTTAATTTTACTTATTTTTAATTCATTTATATTAATAATAAAGAGGATTGGAATGAGAGGAAGCCTGTGTCCAACAGTGGGACGTATATAGGCTGTAGCTTTCACTTTTTAACTTTAACAATGCGTTTGCTAAAGCATCAATCAAATGTTGATATTATAGGAGTTAATATTTTTTTATAGGATAAGGGTGAAAAACGAGCATACAGTCCACCTGATGGTAAGTGGTTGCTGCGGCCCATAGACATCTACATCTATCCTCGTTTGCGAATCAAAATGCAGATGCGTTGTCACCCGTGATAACTAAGATGGAATGCCTCATTCCCAATAAAAAGGGCCTCCGGCCACCTGCACTCACCAAGCGAAACGCAGAGGTAAACCTCTACTTCACGCTGGTTTTCTGTGAGGTGTGGTACCACCCCGGTTCGCGCCGGCCCATCCGTGCGACAGCAAAAGCTGCCGCGTGGCTCTACCACTGTTAATCGATTTTGTTGTATGTTTTACGTACACGTGTAGAACTTGATACCGATACGTTTACGATTTCTTTTTTCAGACCTTGCAATGGAGCTCAGCATCGTGCCAGTGAACTTTGAATGGGTATTGAACTGCCTGGGCGGTTACACGCTGACCTCCATACACGAACTATTACTATGCCCCTCTTCGCTTCTACCTCCAATTACAAACAAGTGGCCTACGCCATTACTCGCCCGTGATTTTGACTAGTACAATCAATAATCACTACATCAAGAATATATCTGTTATTTTTTTTAAATTTATATGTAATACAATGTAAAAATAAAGCATTTTTACTTTGTTTTTTTTAAAATTGGTGTTATTATAATTCCAATTTTTCAGAATTATAATAATACATAATAATACGTTTATTTGTTAATCATAAGTAATACATTAAAAATGTTAACAATTCAGGAAAATTTATTGATATGACGTCCTCAAAGTGACGTCAAGTAGTGAAAACGATGTGCCCTAGACCGAATTTAGGTCACGACGGCCAGTCTCAACGAAGTTAGTCTTCGTTGAGACTGGCCGGATGTTATATAGTGCCCAAGTATATGCGCAAACACAGGTGCACACTCTTCCTTTACTCTCATATGTCCGATGGGACAGTAATGTGACACGATCGAACAAAGCTCCGGCGCAAGACCAACGGCTTTATGTGCTGCCCAAGGCATGAAGATAAAACCCCCATTTTCCCTACTCCCGCCTGCTGCTGTGAATTTCTTTACAGCAAAACCTAATAAATAAATAATTTTAGCTCGACCTGGGATTCGAACCCAGGACAACATAATCTTGCCCAACGAAGTTCAATCAGAAAAATTTCAAATTTTTATAATCACCTAGAAGTGGCCTAGGTTTTTAATTAGTAAGTAAGTCAATTTGTGTAGTAAAAACCGGCCAAGTGCGAGTCGGGCCACGCATAATGTAGATGTAGGGTTCCGTTCCCGTCTCAATACGTGAACTTGAATAGACTTCTTCTTGATAGACAGTTGGACAGTGGTAGAGCCACGCGGCAGCTTTTGCTGTCGCACGGATGGGCCGGCTCGAACCGGGGTGGTACCACGACCTCACAGAAAACCAGCGTGAAGTAGAGGTTTATCTCTGCGTTTCGCTTGGTGAGTGCAGGTGGCCGGAGGCCCTTTTTACCGGAAATGAGACATTCCATCTAGTCCTCATGGGTGACAACGCATCTACATTTTGATTTGTAATAGAAGATAGGTGTAGATGTCTATGGGCCGCAGCAACCACTTACCATCAGGTGGACTGTGTGCTCGTTGGTCACCCTTATCCTATAAAAATAATAATATTATGAGCTTATGAAATGAGTTCGCGGTTTGACCGCTATGACGACTAAAAATGTGCCCCAATAGGACGATGGCAACTGAAGGACTTATTTTCCAAGCAGACAGCAGCAAGAGTGGTATGAATACCACTCCCAATATGTCTAGATTAAAAAACTTCTATTTTGAAAATAATACAATTTACATGTTATTCATTCACCTGCTAGGTCCGTACAAAAATGGTCATAGTTCCCCATCTGTCTATTAGTTTCCGGCAGTACAACGCTATGATTATGACCGTAACGAACCTTAATAAACTAAACTATAAGGGTTCCTTTTTGTTTAACTACGGAACCCTAAAAATGACTGACCAGAACAAAAAGTAAACAGAATAAAATGAGTAGGTAATAAAAATGGCACGTTTAGACTTTAAAAACTCATTAACTACAATTGTAAACAATTTTACGATTGTAGGTTTTCAAAGGAACCTCATTAGACATTAGGGGAGTCGAAAGTAGATTGTAAGAAACACCGTCGTTGCGTTGCCCTTTTCGGTTTAAAAGAATATTTATAATTTTCTTTTAAGCCGAAAAGGGGTCTAACATAAACAACACTTATTTATTATAATGATGTTCATACCCAAACGTTGGTTTCAAGATTTGACGCCGGAGAGCGCTCGGCTCGATACGGCGCGTTCATAACCGGTAGAAGTGTGGGCGGTTAACGGGAGTTTTGTTGCCAGCTGGCCGCGTCCGGAGATTGCACGCAGTTGGTTGCTACCGGTGGCCGGGTCGAGTCGAACGGTTGCTAGATACAGTGCAGTCGAGAGCACGTCGTGAAGTCGCCCGGGAAACGTCCATTTTGAGAGTCGGTTTCGTTAGCAAAGTGTTGCCACGACGAGGGTTTTTTGTTAAGTCTAGAATTAGAAGCCTTAAGAACTAGAATTAGTATTATAGGAAATTCGTCCATATAGCCACTCGGGCTCGAACCTGCGGCTGCTCGTTGAATTTTTCGCTCATGGGCCCCAGGAGATTCGACATTTGCAGTGGCAGCTGTAGGCCGTAACACATGACTCGCTTGATATTGAATTAGCTTTCCAAACTTAGACGCCCATTACACGGTAGGTTTTGGTGTCAGTTTTACAACAATCACGGTTGTGATTGACGAATAACCTACCGTGTAATGCGGTGATTGACGGTTGCATGAAATTGATTGACAAATATCTGGATATTTTGATTTTTACGTCAATCAACTATCAGTCACGAATTTTGATTGAACGTGTAATGGCATTTCGTCAATCACGCGTCAGGTCAGTCAACGCTTGACAGCAATGGAGGCGGACGCAGTATAATATATTGAAGCGGCGGCTTCCACGCGCCTGCGCAGCCCGTCGCCACTCCCGCCAAACGTGCTTCAGCCAGAAAAATATTTTATTTTAAATTTTGAGGCTCTCCCCGAGTTGTGGGACACGAAAACCCCCAGGTAGGGTGGATGCCCCTAATTCCAGTCTTTCCATCTTTTTACTTTGTAAATAAGATTTCTAGCAGTCTTAACTACAAATATTGTCGGCTAAAAAATTCATCGTAACTAGAGGAAAGTATATTTCAAATATTACCTCACAGTTTTAAACCTAACAGTGTTAAATTAAAAATCAAAACACGCACGCAACGATAAACGCTCATTTTTCTAATTTTGGACAAGTTATGGTCCCGATACAATTAAGCATATTTTACATAAGCTCTTCTTTAGGCTTTTTGATTTGTATAAATGTGACTATAGACATAATAATGCAGCTATTTTTGCTTAAATCTATAAGTATTTTATTTTAGTGGAAATTTATGGGGCTGTAATTAGATATACGAAATGTATGGAGTGCTTAATGTCAGACGCTCGGCTGTTATTTGGTTTGACGTACAACTGTTGTAAAACTGACAAACAAAACCTACCGTGTAATGGGCGTCTAACAAAATTATTTCCTTTTATTGCCTTTCCATCCAAAAGTTTTCTCTTCTTCGTAATGACAGACCTGACCGCAAAGGCGGCGGTACTGCTATTTACTACAAGAAGACGCTTCATTGCTCTCACATTCCTACTCCGAAGCTTACCAACATGGAAGCCACGGTATGCAGGCTAGCCATGACTAGACACCAGTCCATCGTCATAGCCTCCTGCTACATCCCCAGCGGAACCCTCCTCCTCAAAAAAGATTTTGAAGCTATCTTATCTTTAGGTAACTCAGTCATTATGTTTGGAGATTTTAACTCCAAGCATACTGAATGGACCTGCCTTACTACTTCTCAGAGTGGCAAGAAACTGCTTGATATCACGCAGTCTCTTGACCTTACCGTCCACAGTCCTCTCGGTGTCACTCACTATCCCGACAACACCGATCACGCTTCCGACGTGCTAGACTTTGCGTCAGTTAAAGGAGTTTCCCTCAACCTCAGGGCAATTGAGACTAGGATCCGACCACCGACCGGTCTCCCTCATTCTTGGCCATCAGCCACTTCCCTCAACCTCAACCCCCTCCACGAAAACCTTCACTAACTGGAATGGTTTCAAGGAGCCCCTAGCTAAAGCTATGGACTTACAGTACTCCCCCATCTCCCTCTCGTCGGACTTCGATAGTCCCGAAAAAATCGACACCGCGATCGATTCTCTCTCCACCCTTATAAAATCCTCTCTTAAGGAGAATGAAAGGGTCGTCCCGGTTACTAATAATGATGGTCTGCCCCTACATATTAGCAACTTATTGAAAGCCAAGAGAGCTGCTTTCCGGAGAGCAGCAATCTATAACACCCCTGAATATAGGCGTACGGCCAATCGTCTTCAACGAGAAGCCCGTTTCCGCCTCTCCGAACTTCGAGACCTCGAAAAGAGTAAGCTCATGGAGAATATCTCTCCCTCTCATACAGCGTACTATCAGATGGCAAGACGCTATCACCCACACTCCCCCTTTCTCCCGTCCCGACGGTACGGTTGCCTTCGAGGACGAGGAAAAGGCTGGGTGCTTTGCAGACAGCATTGCCGCACAATGCTCTCCTAGCTCTCAACCCACCGACCTCGATAGTGGAGGATGAGGTCCGCCGCCGGAATTCACCCCCCACAGCCTCTGACCCTATCACGCCTGCTACAATCTCGCCCTCCACTCATCCCTCATCAAAGGACTGAAGCCCAAAAAGGCTCACACACACACCTAGAGTCACAAACACAGTTAGGACAACGGATGGGACATAGGTTGCGTGTCCGCACCCGCAGACGGGCGCGCCACACACCCCTCCACATCACACCGTACACCCGCCTAGAACTTCGAATTATAGTAAGAGTTAGCCGTCAGGGCCTGGGTCCGCCACCCCTATTCAGACGGCGCAGCGGTTAGATAATTCATCTGTACACTAAAAATTGAACATATTGATTGAAATAGGTGAACATCGTTACGAAAGTGACGTTGGAAGTAATAAGCTATTAAGCCCCCCCCCCCCTTATGTAGCTGTAAGAGTTTGAGAAACCTGCATTACACTATGCCAAATTAAACAAAATGTCATATCCCGTGGCTCCCCCGTCATCACCTAATTAGGTATCTAATATCTATATAATTCAAATAAAATATTGAATATTTTAAATAAGTTACAATAAGCTAATTTAAATGCGTACCCGCCACTTAGCAATTAGCAGTCACGAACTAACGGAATGCGATTATCGCCCTTATAGTATATACACGTAAGTTACATTGGCCTTCCGAATCAGTGACCCTCAGATTATAGAACAATAATAATCTGAGGAGTGACCTTTAGGACGCAACATGTTACGAATCGTTTATGAAGCAACATTGCAAAATTTTAAATTGCTTTTGCTTTTATCTATTGTCTTACAGCTGTCCACAAAATTTACCTATAATTATATTCTTTACATATATCACAAAAAAAA